AGGGAAAAATTGTAGTTAAAACCTCCAACCTGGGCCCACCATCAAGCAGCTTGCAAGACATTAACGTAGCAAGACGAGTATCTGCAGCGAGGCCCGCGAGATGCAGCCACCTGACCCGTCCAGCATTTCGAACCGTGCACTGCGAAGCAAGGCTTGCGCTACTTTCAAACAACTTCTGGCGAAGCACAGTGCGTTCAAGTGGCTCGGTGGCCACATTCTGGGCAAGCTCCAGCCAAGATGGCATACAGCCATGCGAATGCCCTCATATGCCCTCTGTAGCTCAACAGGCAAGTCATGTCAAGCGTCAGGTCCATGTACCGGACTTAAGACCACGCATGTCACATGCTTTTCTGGCGCTCTGCTGTGAACGATAAATATTGGACGGCAACAGCGCTATCGACTTGGGTCGCCGGCGTCTTCTCGTCAAGGCATGGCTCCTCCAGCCTCAAACGCATCAGCACGCCGCAACAAATTCCCTAGCTGTGGTGAGGAATGCAGTTTGAACCCCAGGGGGGGTTAACGTACGTACGTACGTACCGGTACGTTAGTACGTTAGTGCGTCGTCACACCGACAGGAGTACCCGAGTACGTAAGTATGTTAGGACGTCAGAACGCACGGCCAGAAAAAAAAATTGCACGGGGGGCGGGGCGGCACGTGTGTATGTATGTATGTATGTTAGTTCCTAGAATCGCGCGCAGCGGACGCGTCTACGTACGTACGTGAGTACGTATTGAGTACGTTAGTATATACGGTAGGACGTCAGTACGTCAGTGCGTACGTACGTTAGTACGCCAGTTCAGTTATGTATGTTACCTTGTGCACGTACGTAAGTACGTTATAGTACGTTAGTATGTTAGTGCGTCGTCACACGGAGAGGAGTACTTGACTAAGTTAGGCGGGGCGGGAGTACGTATGTACTTTCCTCGGGGGGGAACCAGGTAGGGAGCCAGGTACGTACGTACATACGTACCGTCCCGGGGGGGGTGGTATGTACGTTAGTAGTTGCAAGATAGGGGGGGAGTATGCTGGGAGGGAGGGGGGGAAGATACGTACGTTAGTATGTTATAGTACGTTGCAAGACAGGGGAGGAGTCTGCAGTCACTTGGGGGTCGCGTGGGCGGGGGGGAAGGGAAGGGGAGTACGTATGTACTTTCGTCGGGGGGGAGCTAGGCAGGTAGCCAGGTACGTACGTGCATACGTACCGTAGCCGGGCAGGGGGGGTAGGTATGTACGTACCCTGGGGGGAGGGGGGGGGTGGGTATGTACGATATAGCATGTTAGTACGTTGCAAGATAGGGGGGGTATGTATGTACGTACGTTACCTGGGCGGGTCGGTTAGGTGGTAGGTACGTACGTACTCCGGCCAAGAATTTTGCGGTAACATGTACGTTACCTGGGGGGGTCGGTCAGGCGGTAGGTACATACGTACCCGAAAGGGGGGAGTAGGTATGTACGTTAGTATGTTAGTACGTTGCAAGATAGGGGGGGAGTATGTAGGTACGTACGTTATGGAGGGGGTCGGTCAGGTGGTAGGTACATACGTACGTACCTCCGGCCAAGAATTTTGGCGGTAGCAAGCAAGATAGGGGAGAAGCATGCATGTAGGGGTCGCGCGGGTGGGGGGGGGAGTATGTATGGTCACGCGCTCCGCGGCCCGCCCCCCTCCCCCGCAAAGGTCAATGGTCCGGATATGGGGTGGGACCCCTCCTCCCTGTGGTGTGGGGTGTGGGGTCCCTCTTCCCCCTGTGGGGTGGTTGTGGGGTTTTGGGGTTTAGGGTTTAGCTTAACCTTTTGAGTGTTGGGTTTACGGTTACAAGGTATAGCGCTTGGAGTCGACAAGGGCTTAGGGAGGATTTGCGGTGTATGTTCTGCTTTAGGCTTAGAGCCTGCAGATAGGTGGGGTTTAGGGTTGGGTGTAGGGTTTGAAGTACAAGTTAAAGTTATTCAAAACAGGGGCACGCGTTGCGTTATAGGGTTTACGGCTTGCTTGCGAAGGGCTTGCGTGCGAGCCCTGGCCGCCGGCACCATCCCACCATCCAGTGGCAGCTCCAACAGCCCCGACCCCTTTCCGCACACGCCAGCCCCCCCCTCCCCCCACCCCTAGCAGACCATACCATTGGGGGGGGGGGGGGCTGGGAACGCCAGACGCCTGACCATGTATGCACGTTTTTGGGGGGAGGGGGGGGTACGTGTGTACGTTTGTCTGTATAAACGCTAACCACAAAATTTGCGCCGAAGGGTGGGGGAGTCTGTATATATGTACGCTACCCCCTGGCGGGGGAGACGTGGGAGCTAGGTACGTACGGGGGGGTAGGTATGTACGTGTAGTGGTTAGTATGTATAGCAAGACAGTTAGGTAGTGAGATAGGTAGCTAGGTAGGGAGCCGGGTACGTGCGTGCATACGTACCTTCCCCGGGGGGGGGTATGTGGGTACGTTGCAAGACAGGGGGACGAGGGGGGGAGTATGCAGGTACGTACGTTGCCAGGGGTGGGGTAGGTAAAGGGAAGCAGGCACATACGTACATACGCACGCACCTCCGGCCAAAAATTTTCCGGGGGGGGGGGAGTATGTATGTACGTACCTCCGGGCAAAAAATTGCGCCGGGAGGGCGGGGGAGTATGTATGTACGTACGTTTCCCAAGGGGGGGAGGTACGTACGTACGTTAGTATGTACAGCGAGAGTTAGTTAGTATGTACGTACGTACCTTGGAGTTCCTTGGGTACGTATGTACGTTAGTATGTATAGCAAGAGAGGTAGTTAGTTAGGTAGGTAGTTATAATAGGTACGTACGTACATACGTACGTACCTCCCCGCCCCCCCCCCCAAAAAAAAAAATAAAATAAAAGAATCAGTGGGGGGAGTGGTATGTATGTACGTACGTACCTCGGGGTTCCTTATGGAGGAATGTACTAGTAGTGGGACAGGAGTGAGGGGAGAGAGGGAAGCTGGGAGAGTGGTACGGGCACTCCTGGACCTCTCCAAATGGTGTATTTTGAAGGCCCCTTGCCGGAAGTCAACCATCCGGGCCCCGGGCCGAGCTTTTGCTTCATCCACCACAGCCTCGCCCTGCAGCAAACTTTGCAGACTTCCACTGGAAAGTAACCTCTTGAATCTCTCACAGCAGGCTAGGCCTCACAAGTTCTGCCAGAAGGCAGGCCACATCTTGCGGCGTCCGGTTGAGCTGATAATATACTCGGAGTAGTCAGGGTTCAAACAACAAGCAACACGGACTCACTGAGTCACTGTCAAAACAGCTGACCATTGGTAGCAGACAGCTGCTAGTCACACCCAGTAGGCATGTGCCTGATCTTGCTCGCTGCCTTGCATCTCGGAAGTTGAGCCAAAGGATCTGCACACACAGGAGGCCATTGGAGCTTGAAAGCTTGCATGGCTCAATGCCCACGTATACGCACGAAACAGCAACATTGAAGGTCAAGTACTAACTGGACCTCATTTTAGCATTGACCTCATGGCTCCGAGTTCATTGAACAAGCGGTCCAAGTCAACAACAGCCTAGTACCCCGGGTGCTGTAGGCGGACATCTTGAACATCTTCCCGAACGATACAAGCGACATTTCAGGGCTCCTTGTTCTGAAGCTGCGAAATCTTCTTGAGGGTCCTCGCCCAAAATGAGCTGTTGAAGAACCTGCTTTTGCATCTTGACATGTGCTGTCTTCAAATTCGACAGGAGGGCCTCAATGTCGACCGCTGGAACATCATTACACAAGACTAGCGATACAATCTGATTGATACAATTTTGCCACAACTGTTGCTTTTGTAGCCATCATCCATCATGCTCGAAGTGCATTTCGAGGAATTACGACGGAAAAAGCTAGGAGGGTCCAGGGTACAACGCTGGCAAAAAAGGCAAGCGAAACATGATCGAAGATTCAGCCAACCGTGCCCGGAAAAGCAAGCATAAGTTTGAAGCTTTCACAAACTACTGATAATCAGATTTGCCTGTTACTGCAGTATTGTTATTACTTTCATTACAATTTTAATATTCGCATTAGTATTACTATAGTTTTGTTGGTACTAGTGCTATGAACATTTGTATTTCAAAAGGTCCACGTCCTTATGTCCTCTGTACAAGAAAGTCTGGTGAGATCTTTCAAAAGCTGGTCTCCTTCAGGTGTATGCAGTGAATCAACAGATATCATATTCGCATATTTAGGGGCCGTTATTCTTGTTAATATTTTGTTATAATTGCTATCATTATCATTAATATTATTATCCTTCTTAAGACTACTATTGTTACTATGCATATCACTAAAGAATTTGGGGAGAATGCTGGCATTTAGTTCCGAGCCCTTGGCCGCCCAAGGCCTTTCCAGCACAATTTTTCACGCCCGCGCCGCGCGACCACGCTTCTGGAAAACATGCCGTTCCGCGCAGCCGGGGTAAACTTTGGATCTGGATTTCCAGGATCGCATAATCCCCTCCCCCGAATAACAATAGACATCCCGCAACCCCTATTAATAAGCCCCCCCTCTTATTGTTATTTGGGGAAGGGATTAGATAGAAGTGGGCGAAGTGGGGTCAGTCGTCCAGCAAGCCATTCGGGATAAGCCCCTCGGTCTGGCATCCAACCTTGGCTGATCTAATCCGTCATGCGCACATGGACTCAAGGCATGCTGTACTTAAACCATCTTGGAAGATCGCGTGATCAAAGTCTTGGGTCCAGGCTGTGAGCAAAACACCCTGGCCCTGGCGTCCTCCTTCTGCTCGGCAACGGTCAAAGGCCTCACCGGGATCAGCCGAGCCGAGTCCGGGGGGCGGTTTCTGAAAAGGCCCTGTCTGTGTCACGGTGCACACGCCCATCTGGGTGTCACACTGGGCAAGACGCCGTTTGTCGTCTCCACGGAAGGCCTCCAGTTCGCCACGGCCTGGGCCTTCGACTGGTCTGCGCCTGAAGGCGTGGTCGCATGGTCGCACTGGCAGTGGCTTGCAGCACCCACCGGCACTGAGCACTGTGCGTCATGAGCCGTTGAAGGAATCAGACCGCCGTCAGATCGGATTCAAGACCTTAGCTATGGCAGTAGGGTCTGCAGAGCTGCCTGATGAACCGCAACCCAGTGCTTACTCTTTTCGGTATTCAACGGCAACTGGCCTCAGTTGCCGAAGCTATCGACAAACGACAGGTCGAGACAAAGCGAGCTGAGAAAGCAGCATCCGTAGGCTCCCAAGAAGGCCACCGGAACTCGCCCAGCCTGCACACGGATCACGTGGCTACCAGTAGCATCCACGGGACAATGAAAGTCGATCGAAAAGCGCCCAAAGCGCCGGACACTGGACTACACTTCGGACATGTCCTGTCTTTCCAGATAACGTCCCTGCAGGTTCTGAGACGAAGTCGGGGTGTGTCACAATCGCGTCAGCGGCTTCTGCCGAGTACGGTTCGGGCGATTGCTGTTGGAGTCCATCTGATCCGAAAGAGGCTTGTCATAGGGGTACTTGTAGCTTCCTCTCGGGGCCTCCGCAGCCGTCAACCCGAAGTTGCTGGCGCTGAGAATTACGCCATCCGCCGAGGCGATGGTGAGCCACTGCCTCAGAACTGGGCACCAAACCTCCGAGCAGAAGCCTCGGACCTTTCCGGCGACAGAATGCAAAGCAGCGAGATTTTGGGGACATTCCCAGATTTCAGCTCGATCAAGTTTCTGAGAGATTTGGGAGTCTCAGAATACAGGCAAATTCCAGGCCTTGCCCTAAAGTGTAGCCTTCCCAACAGAACGACCCAGAAGGCACTCACAATCTCAGACCTCCCCGTCTGCATCTCACTCTGGGCTCTCGACGCCCATGTGTCTGTGATCCCGGCAACCTAGCGAAACAATGCAGACGACGTCAACATTCCGTCCCTTGTCTGGCCGGGGCCCAAGCGGCCACCGGAAGCGGACTTCGATCAAGATGAACCTGTTGGTTTCCGAGCTGAGAACACGCATTCGTTAGAAGCATGGGGATCACATCAAATGGAACCGCGAACCCTTCGCTCAGTGTCCGACAATAGAGGCGTCACCTTGCCCTGGCAAGAATGCAAGCCTTAGTGACTCAGCGACTTCTCTGACCTCTCCGACTCTGAGTAGGATCGGCACTGTTGCTTGCTTTGTCTGCAAGGCTGCACACAGAAAGCTGTTGTAAGTGCCTCTGCGCGCCACCTCCAAAGCTCAGCTCATGACTTGTTCCGCTTGATCAACTCAGCTATCCTGCCGGAGAACAGCCACCGGGCACAAACGGACGGAATAGAGCAGAGGGACGATGATACGGCTGAGGGCGCGACAAAGGCGATGAGCCCGCCTCCAAGTGCAGCAGTCATTCCTCAGAGCCTGGGATATCCTGCGACTTCCTGGCCTCGGCAGTGTCGGCAGCAAGATACCAGGCCACGTCGTCGTCCTTGCAGACAAAAGCAGGGCTCTCTGAGTCCATAGCATGGCATCCGAACAAGTGAGGCTTGGAAAACCCGCTGCACAGCCGAACCCAAAGTCCTTCCAGCGCTGATGTCTTTCCAGTCCCTGCCAGCAGGCACGAAGACTGCAAAATGCAAGGCCCTGAGCCTAGAAGAGGAGGAGGAGAGGATGCCAGGAAAGCATGGTAGATGGTAAACAGCCCCAAGCAGCATGCGACCACCACACTCAGCAAGAGCTCGGGTGTGTCATGCGGCACCTGTGCACATCCCAGGAAGCCCTCCAAGTCGCTGAGGCCGTGCCGGGGTGGATCCTCAGGCACCGCAAGTCGCGTGAATCTCGTGGCAAGCACTTCTGTCGGTTTCGGATAGTGCTGCAAAAGCCTGTGCTATGGCACGCCTGCCCGAGAGTGTTTGCCTCGGGGATCCGAGGCACTGACTGACCACCTGAAGGCATGTCACAGGCACTGTGCAGGTCGAAGGGCATGTATATTGGCGTGTCGCCATCTGCCCGCACCCGGAAGTAGTCTAGCCCTGGCAATATTTAGGCGCTGTCACCAACGACCCATTCGACGGCAACAGCTGAGTTCCTGAAACCGGCCAGAATGCTGACGGATTAATGCATGCAAACCGTAGCGAGCCGCAGAATCGTTCGCTACATTATCAACAGCCAGCTTTCTTTTCGGGCCTGTATTCATTGATGAGCCTACAGAGTCAATGCACTGCATCAAACCACCGATCCTGTTCGGTGACTTGTCTCCAGCTCGGAAATGGACGGCAATGAGGCGCTTGCGCCCCAACTTGGCGGCCTGGAGCCATCGCTGGCACGAATGAAGCTGCCGTTTGGGCGTAACAGTTGCACACACTCCTTTAACAGGGAGGCTGGGCATGTCGCTTAGTCTGCCGCGTGCTTGCTTTCGGTTTCTGCTCTGAATCTGGAATGCCTGACCCCGGGCGTGCCTCCAGCACCTGCGACAGGGTCAACACAGCGTGAGATAGCATGAGTGGATGCAAGTGGCACTCGTGGCAACGCAACCAGTGTTTCCTCGCCCCAGTAAGCTTCCAATCCCCCGGAAAGGAAAGTGCCCTTTCAAGTCTCGCAATCTATGGCCGGGCAGAGCCGCGGAGCCAAGCTATGTTGCATTCTTCGGGGAACGGCTACAGTAAGGCCATTCCCAGGCGAACGCCTCGGCATGCCGGGCTGCAAGCAGCTGCGAGGGTTCGAAGAGGAGCTCGAGCAATGCTGCATGGAGATACGGCCTGGCCAGATCGGGACCAGTCGCCTTCAGAACTTCAGTGAAACTGCTAACTGGTCCCGGAGACTCCGAGAAGCTGGGCGGGGCACGTTTTGAGAAGCTGTGCTGCAAGGGGCCCCATCAGCGACTGAGCCTGCAGCGACGGTCCCTCAAATGCATGCTCGGTCCTGAATCAAAAACTCTCTTGGGGCCCCCTGCCTCCTTGCTCTGCAGCACAGCTGGCGAAACTCTCTGATTGGTATGCCTCAGACGCGCGCAACCCACAAGAACCCACCCGACCAGAGCAATGCAGCACGGCAAGGAATCAAGCCTTTGTGCATCTCGAACACCGTCTGACCCGTTCGACACCATGCCACGGTCGAGAGTAAAGCAGCACGAAACGGGGGCAAGACTCCAAACATATGTATCACAGGTGCCTCCCCCCCCCTTCGGCAATGCAGCACGAAAGGGGCCAAGCCGCTACACTGCACATCTGAGTCGTCTGACCCTTACGAGAACTCCCCCAGAGCAATGCAGCACGAAACAGGTCAAACCTGTGCATCTGGATCGCGAGCCTATATGGAAAACACTCCACCACCCAGTCCAGAACACCCAGCCTCAGTCCCACCCTGCTCATTCTCTGGTTGTCGGCTTCTGATCCAAACGAGCATCCCACCTACCCACTTCGTGCGGCATCGCTTGGCGCCGGCTGGGTTGCTGCCAATGGAGGTCCAGTGTTACAGGGTTTTTTCTGACCGGCCGCAACAGCTTGCGGACTGTTATCAACTTGTCATCAACACTATCTGCGCTCGTTGCAGGCACACTTCAGATTTTGTCCTAGTCGCTTCTTTGGACCGATCTTGGGTCATGGCATCACCACCACCTTCTCGGGCTCTTGGGTCAAGATCCATGGAAGGTCGTCCACCAAATCCTGGCAGGTGAACGTGCAAACTCCCACACTCACCCAGCCTCTTGTGCGCTTTGGGATCTTCTCCGGTCCAACTTGAACGCATGCACCTTGCGCCTGTAGGGTCACCCTGCAGGTGGAGCAATTGCCATGGCTATTGCAAGCACGGAGGCGTCGCGTTGTACCGATCGTTGTAGTTCGTCCTTCCAAAGATCCCACACACGCACACACACACATATACATATGTATATATGTATATATATATATATACACACATATTTAATCATATTTATGTGTATATATATACAGTATGATATTCTTTTATATATCCTGTTATATACACATATCAGAACCAGAACAGAGACAGTTTGGCCCGGCCTCCGGCCGACAGCAGAGATAGCGCCATGCAGCCGCCAGTCCAAGAGAAACCTGAAGGCAGGAGAAGGTCCGGAAAAGTACTGCAAGAGCTAAGGTTTTAGTGATTCTAGAACCCTAAACCCTAAACCCCAAACCCTAAACCCCCTAGTGATTCTAGTACTTCAAGGGCTGAATCACTTCATGTGATCTGTATGAATTCGAAGCACATGGGAAACATGCAAGGTGCTTCAGCACCGTTATACGGTTATACGTACAGCTATACGGTTGTACGTTCTCCTTCGTATGATACGTGCCCAGCCGAACGCCGAACCCATGGCGACATAAGCCCGCTTGGATCTGGGCTCAGCATCTTGGAGAGCTTTGCCGCACGATGCCGCACGGCCTTTTGTCTCCATCAAGCAATTCAAGCAAAGCTAAGTGCCTCCCTCTTTTTGTTGCTTCGAATTCACCGCGCCGCAGTTTGCGCTTTGATTTTCGACATCTCGTCACCAGCCTGGCTGCCTCATTCTGGAAGCTATAGTTGCACCACCATGGGAGGACCAGCGGGCAGGGGTTTCCTCGATCCTGCAGGTGCTCCTTCTGAGTTCGCCGCGGCGAGGTTGCAGCAGCTGATGAAGAGGGACGGGACCTCACCGTTTCGGAGGGTGCCGACGCACGACGCACGGTCACAGCCGTCGGCGCTGTCCGTAGCCTTGCATCTGGCTCCGGGGTCCCCACGCGCAGAGTCGATGAAGAAGGCCCGCCGAGAGGCTATCTGCGGTCATTTTTTGACTTCACTTGAGGAGTCTTTTTCTGAGCAGGTCTTTTCTGACACTTTGTTGCATAAGCGTGTAAACGCTGTTTGTACACGGTGGATGCCCAGACACAATACATGCAGTTTGCAGGGCGTTTCGAAACTATCTGGCGGAGATAGCACAGGACTCGTCACATGACATACTTGGAAGCTCTCAGATCGCGGCAGCCATCAGGAACACCCCGAGAAGTCCATTCAGACGATCGCCTGGGTTTCGGAGGAATTTGCTCCGGGCAAAAGCCGCATCCGAAAGCTCGAGGAACGGAGTCTGTCGATGTCTGCAAGTGACCTTTGGCTTCCTCCTGCCTTCAATTCTCGGCTGTCCCTTCACTGAGTTCTGCTAGGCCTCCGGGCCGTGGCCGCCACAGAAGCCCATGGCCGAGCAGCGGTAGATCAGCAGCCGAGGCATTGGCCCTGGCGCAGAACGGTGTTCTGGTAGAAAACAACAGGGATGCAGGTTAGGATTCGGGAGTCTGGCCTCCAGCACCCAAGGTCGCTTGCTCCAGGAGAGTCTTCCTTGCTGCACGGTGGAAGTCGAGGTAATCCTGGCAAGAAGACTCTTCAAGGAAATGATGGTGAGCCAGCAAGACGGAGTCTTTCCGTCGAGCGTCCTTCAAGACCGAAACCAGCGCCGGGCAAGGCCTGAAAACGTGACTCTGGCGTGTTGGCAGCCCTGGTGTCATCGTTCTGCTCCCAGCCCACCATCCACCCATGCCCGTGCTCCTCACTGCAACAACCCCCAAAACACCAGCACAAATCCAAAGCGGAGCCCCTGGCGCCGTGTCCGGAGACTCCCGGAGGGCCAGGCCGTAGCCTCGCCCGGCGGACGCGCGGACCTGGCCAGCCGTGGCCAGCCCCGGACTCTCGGGCACCCATTACGGGGGGCTTGAGTTGGCGATTCAGAACGTGCATCATGGCGTCGCAAAAATTTCTGATGCAACTACCCCACCAAACTGCAAGACTTGCTGAAAGAAGGAGCCTCACAGGTTAACCCTAAATCCTAAACCGTGAACCTTTTAGACCAGGTCGTCTGCCGTCTCGCCTGGCTCGGCCAAGTCGATGGTTGTGCGGGGCGCAAGTGCTGCGGCCACACCTGAAAATTTGAGGCAGAAGGGAAGATGCATTGGGACACAAGCTACTCCGGTAGACTCCTGCGGGGAGTTCCCCCATACCAAACGGCAGTGGACCGTGGAATCTTGATGCCTTCACCACCTACATCGTAGATTCGGTTCGAGGCCCGTGCCACTTTGACCGACGGGCTGCGAATCAGCTTTGCCAGCAGCATCGCCTGGCAACTCTGCAACAAGAGTTAAACCTCTGATGAGTCGATGTAACGCCTACAATAGAAGCCCCAAAAAAAGGAACCCTTATAAGGGATGCTTTCTATAGAGTGCCTCGCAAGTGAGCCCTGGCCCCCCCCCCCTCCACGCAAAAGACAAAGCGGGCGCTCGAGTGGCGGAGCCCTGGAGCGCTTTCGCGTCCCCGCCGCTGGAGACTTGGAAAGAGGCCACGACCTGGGCCCCCGTTGGTCCGCTTCGGTCCGCTTCCCAGAGAGAGAGCGGAGAGTTGGAGAGAGGGAGACACCAAGCGAGACAAGGGAAACTCTAGAATCTACTGCTTCTGTGCAAAAGCCACTGCTCAGTGTAGAAGGGCTGACTCTTGAGCCGCCTCGACCGGCTCCTGAAAAAGACCCTCTTCTTGCACCAATCCAAGACGAAATGCCGGACTGCTCTCGTGTCTTAGACAGTGAGCTTTCTGTGCAGGCTCCGGGTGTGCGCCATGGTACCAAAAAGAGGGTGCTCGGCGGAACTTGGAACATCACAACCTGCCATGACGGGAGTTCACAAATCTTGAATCTTGAAGGTGAAGCGACACAAGCCAATGTAGACTGGCGCGGCGCACAGCCGGTGCGAGATGGAACAGTGCACAGCTACGAAAAGGGGAAGAGGGGGAGCTTGTCGGCCCCCTTTTTGGAACGAAAGACGAAAACGACGCGCAGGTGAATCAGGATGAACCTCTCAGATCCAGAGCTGAGCTTGAAACTGCTTGAAGCAGATGGAAAGGACATTAAAGCAGGCGCTGTAACTACGAATCAGCCTGCGAGCTGCGAACATCCCAGGCGCACTACTACAAAAGACTAAATCGCCCAGGGACGCTCTTCGCGGCTCACCAACCTGTTCATGCCCCCTCAGACCGGTCAGGCTTCGCCTCCTTCATTAAAAAAAACTGTTGGGTGTCACGATTCCTATGCTACCGGTCGCCGCCTCCCCCTGAATATCAATAGAGTCCGGCGACTAAGTTGATCTTGCGAGTTATGGTCCGGACACAGGCCCTCGGGTGGAGCACGATCTACACATTGGGCAAACACCCGCGGACGCTTGAGTCACGAACCACCTCATAACACACTCTTCGTGGAAGACATGTCCGCAGGGCAACAATGCTACAATGTCGCTATTGGTGAAGTCGTCCAAGCAGCAGGCACAAGTTTTCTGCGGGGTGATGTGAGGCTTCTCTGGTACATGAACTCTTCTGAGCACAGTTTTCACTGGAGGGCTCGAGGAATTGGAGGGCCTGCTCAACTGAAAGAGATGGAATACGGGCTGGGCATCATCAATGGACAGGAACTTCATTGAAGACCAGATCTGATTGTATGGAGGCCCAAGACAGCCGAAGCCACGGCCGTAGTAGCGCTCTGTTTCACCCTCGGGCCCCGCGACCATCAAGCGACAGGATAGGCAAAGGAAACATGTCAGACTGATCATCGTCACCAGGAGCTCTTGCATGAATGGAAGTCCCGGTATGGCGAAGTTCATGACAAGGATTACCAGGCACATTACAGCCCAACCACTGGTCAGGCAGCAAAGCACGCACGTGGCAAGGTTTCTCTCCAACTCGGACACGGCCATCGCGGACGCACGAGGCCGCGAAGCCTTCGCTCATGCAATCTATGTGTGATTGAGAAAAGTCGGGCTTGGTGTGCTGCCATGAATCTTCCTCTACGGGTTTATGTGCTAACATCGCTTTACTCCAGCATGTCACAGCATGTTCTTCTATACTGAAGCCGCCACCCGCCACAAGCCTCGGATCTCCCCTCCAGGGCCGAAGGCTGCAGGAACAGACGGGAGTGCTGGCTCCCTCCAGTCCTACATTGCTGCATCATCTTGAAATTGAACGCCAAGACCCCATTTCCAGCAATCCCTCTGGCAAAGTCCATTTTCTCGGATCCCAGGTCCGGCACTCCCAACTCCCAACACTGTGCTGCTCCATCCTCGCTGCCCTTCGTGCAGAACTATCCTGGCAATCGACAACCAGTGCAGAGACCTGCTGCTTGAAACCACCAGGCCCAGGCACCGAAGTGCAGGTTTGGGCTCCGAGCCCTGGGTCCATCGTTCGCCGCCCTGGAATGCATGCCAGAGTGTTTTTATCAGTGTCGCATGAAAGGCTTGTTTCATGTCCGGAAACCAGGCTACCACCCCTGTGTCTGTCTACACGAACGGCACAAGCATGGAAGGAAGCTCCATCACCAAGTCCGGCAACGCAACAAAACGCGATCCGGATTTCTGCTTCTCGCGATGTGACTCCAGTGTGCACCTTATCACACTGCCTAAAGGTCATGTCGGATGCGCCGGTTTTGTGTGTCTGACACGTGTTGCACAACGAATGTGCGATTGTTGCCATGAGCACCAAAAGCTAGCGCGCCTGTTGGACCCTAGAGATGACTGACAGTTCGTGGCCAACACTGCGATGCTGTTGACCAGCAACTGAAGTCCGACGCCAACGAGCGGGCCTCCCCGCGTAGAACAAGGCAAGCTCTTCTGCGTTGAAGAGGGCGAAACGACGCCAGATGAGTCGCACCTAGTTGCCACTGCAGATGCAGCACAATCCGAGACTGCACATCTTCGAAAGAAGTAACATCGCGGACATCTGTGCGCTTCTCCAGAAGATGCAAACCATCGTAATCAGAGCCAGCTGCGATTGCAGAGCTTCTCAGAGTCTAGCATCCTTCGGCAATATACTTGCTGGCTATGGTCATAGTTGTCCTATCATCCGGATCCACACTTTGAGAAATGTCGTGGTATTTACCCAGTATCCGTAGCAGTTTCTATCACGGGGAGGCACGAGGGTGTCGAGGAAGATATGAAGATCTACTGGCTGCCCGTGATTGTGCTGCCTTTGAGGACGGTGCCCGATCATGGCCAGTGATGAGCCGCGAGAGATATGATGCCTGGACAAAGCCCGCACACATCCGGCCTTCAAGAATGAGCTTGAAAACCCTCCCCACACTAGGCCTACCCGGCACGGGTTTAGCGGCTGCGCCCACAACCCCCAAGCCAGCTGTGAAAGGCGAGACAAACGCCCTGCAGAGTTTACGCTCATGATATCGAAGCCGCCATTACCGTTCTCAGGAGACGCCAAACAGGGGTCGAAAGCTGGTTAGGGACCATGACTCACTGCCCGGTGCAACTCTGGCCGGGCCTGGTCTGGGTTGGCGGTGACGATGACCTGAGGACTCCGAGCGCCAGGGAAACGACCCGGCTTTTGCAAACTGCTCCGATCTGCCTGAGGCCTTGACGATCTTCACGGACTCACCTAACGGAAGTCAGGGGAATCTGGGCTCCATCTGCGAGTCTGCGAGTCCAACTCTGCCTTGAGCCATCTTATCCAGGAGCGGGTTCAGCGCTGAGACCTGACCGGGAGCTGTCGGCCCAGCTTTGGAGTCCCGAGAGGCTCGGCTGAGCCCGGAACGTGCTTGAGCAAAGCATCCTTACCTTGCCCAGGCCAGCGAAGTGGAGTGCAGGGAAGCGGGAAGAGTAAAGTTTGAAGTGTCTTTTGGGCAGCTAGGCAAAGAGATTTCGCACAAGAGTCTGCGCTCAAACCGAAGGAGGGCTTCCCTCTTGGTGCTGCACTCAGAGTCGCCTTATCATTGGCGAAGTCAAAGCCTGGGAAGCCACAGGCTGCGAGGCTTCTGGACGCCAGCACTGCAAAGCCTCAAGCTGCGCAGGCCGCAGGCTGTAAGCCAGCTACGCAGATTTGTTCCAGGATTCGGCATCGCCACGAGGAGGGTCATCTAGCAAGACAGTCGGGAAGCTCGGCAATGCCGGACTGCCACCATGCAACCCACTGCGCCTCGGGTCCTTCATCATCTGGCTCCGCACCTCGAAATTACAAAGTCTGGAAACACATTTACAATCTCGAACATTTTCTGCCAGGAGGCTGGGCGGTAACCTCGTCGGCAGCAGCGGGGGCTGCGCTACAGCAGGCACTCCCTGAGATGAAACAGACTCACGGACAACGCTGCTGAGGACAACTGTCCATGACTTGCTACAATCGGCAAGCTAAAGTAACTCAAGCTGCAGCGGTAGGACTTGTGCGGGACATGCACGCACAAACACAGACCACACTGAGATGGCGACGCAAAGAAGAAACTGCGCGTTGCTTTCCGGCTGCAGTGCCTTTGCCGAGAACATGTTGCATTGCAAAGCTGAAGATTCTTCCGGAGACACCTACATATCGTCTAGGGCCGCTTCGCGTCTCCTTTAATCTGGGTTCCTGGCATGCTGGTAGGTCAACATCAATCCGGTCACCTCAAAAACCCGCGCACTCGCACGATGTGCCGCTTTAGCACAATTTTCCCGGGCCCCTGCTTCGGACATGATGGCCTCTGCCAGCCTTGGTGGGGGATGATTTCCAGCTCTAGCCCGCAACCGCCAATAACTTTCAATTTCAGACCCACACTCCGTGGAGACGGCCTCAGAGAAGCAAACACCATTCAGGCCCCACGCTCTCAGATCGCGGAGCACTGTGCAATTTCCACTGGACTGCGGCATGCCATCGAGAGGGCAAAGGCGTCCGGATGAGTCTCACACCAAAAGCCCATCAACGTACCGCTGCCAGGTGTCGCGAAAGCCTGCAGAGACCAATGTGTCCAGAGACTTAACAGGGCAAACTTTAATCTTGCCGCCTCCGACTCCGTCTCGCTGTTGCCAGGGCCGTATGCTCACACGATGCCTCGGTTGTATCGCTTAGCACACCCACGGCGCACCCCGCCACACCTGGGACTCCTGAGCCTCAACCGTTTGGAGCGTGGTCAGAAGCTTAGCTTGCAGGCGCGGTCGGAGAGGGGATGCCGCGACGCTGCGCCTGGTCCAGGCTTATCGGGATGATTGCTCTCAGACACGACGATGTCAAGGAGGTGTTGATGTGAATTTCGGAAGGGCATGTTGCTTTGCATCCTCCGCTAGGTGCATGGGCCTTTCTTTGGGAGTGGGTCCCGTCTTGCTGTTCTTCCGAACTGTCCCGGCCGAGATGACGCGGCAAATCCGATTTTGTGGTAGAAAAGGCAGGAATGAGCACTTGCAAAACTTCCGTACCTTGGAGTTTTGGAGTAACTAGGGCGACCAGCAGAATGCACGATGCCTGTCGAGGGAGAGGGCGAAGTATGAAAGGATACCCGCTGTCGTTTCCAGCAGCCTGGCATTTGCACCTGCTGGCGCAGATAAGATTCCCCAAGAACATGCGCAATGCTTTGCGCGCAGTTTTATGCTACTACGAGATGCTAGATATCTCGCACCGGCTTCCCACATCGACAAAACACACAGAAAACACACAACCATCAACACAAGAAGACTACAAGAAAGCCGAGACACTGACAAGATGCACAAACAAAGGTCTCACGACGGAAAAAAGGGAGACGGGCGAGTCAGTCGCGCAAATTGCATCATGCTGTGCCTCGATGAAGTCCATGACACAGGCTTCAACGCCCACCTGAAAAGAGGCGGCTTGAATGTAGTGCTACGATGGTGCTCAGAAATCTTGCCGCCCGAGGCTCAATGACTGCATAGTGTTGACTAGCTGGCAGGTGAAAGTCTACAAATCTAAATCGCTTCAAGATGAATGAATCCTACACCTTGCAGATAGTTTCAGCGCAGCAATTAGCTGGACAAAAGCTCCAAATCTTTGGGGACCCAGGTTTGGGGACAAACTTGCTACATGCCGTTGGCCTGCCGCATCTGCCCGGCCACAGCTGCATCGTGAGCACGCAGCTCCTCAGCAGATGCGAGTGTTTGGCCGGAGACAGACGTTGTCTTTCATTACAATTTGGGTATGCGCAACAAGCAACTTTCTGAACAGGAAGATGCTACATGTCTGGCCTGGTAGACCTTCTGCATCAACGCAGAGAGGCGGCGCCACTCGTCTGAGATGGCTGCCTGCACAAAGCTAAACCCACTGAGCGCTCACTTTGCAGTCGTGGCCTCTGCCGATGCTTTGCCAGATCTCCGTACCACTGACTTCTCAAGTCAAGCTTGTCCTGCAACCCTCGGAAACTCAGAATGGCAGTCTGATCAAAATCCAGTCGCACCTCAGCCTCAACTAGCAGTCCCTCGGCTCCTTCGCCTGAGCAGCGGCTGAATTGGAGCCAACAGCATCGGCACAAGCAGTACAGTAGTACATGCAGATCGTTCGGATGTGCAAGTGCAACCGAGACCTACTTGCTACTTGCGATTATGAGGCTTCCAGTCAAGGGAGGGCATGCTGAGCAAAAGCAACCATCGCCTCCCGTCAATCCTAGACTTTCCATCTGATGGGTTCAGAACCATCCAGAAATTCTCCCAACATCAACCCTGGCCTTCTGCACTGCCCCGGCAGGCAGCGCAAAGTAGGTGACTGGCACGCGAGGCGGCAAAATGCTTTGGATCACAGGTCATGTGGCTCGGGCCGTCTTACTTCGATTGCAAAGCCTCAAAACTTTGGCAGAGCCCAGCGAAACTCCAAGAACCAGTGGCAAGCTCTACATCCAAGGCCATACTCACTACGGAATCGCAAGCAAGCGCGCAAGCACGCTGCCTCACCGTCCCTTGGAGCAGGCTCAAAATCTCCTCCAGTGCGACTTGAAGGTGGGTTGAGCTTTGCGACTTATGCATTCATTACTGACTCGTCGAATCGCGGACGGCGACGACACAGAAGAGCCTCGACTCGCACGTGGTAAACTGGCTGATGTCTGGCGATAGCAGCCTTTCATCTGTTGATGAAACATTCCCTGCCCTACACATATGTGTTCGGTACCACTGCATGCCGTTCTGCACCTGGCGTTGCCCAAGCCATCACAAAGAGAAACGATTAATAAACAAATTAGGAACGTTCAAAAGTAGCATCAACCCTTGAAGAAGTTTCAACACCTGTTGACTCATGCTGAACCCCTTTACCTGTTTCTTCAGGCTGATGATTCGCGCAGACTTCGCGATGCGTGCCAACTCCATGGAACCAGTCATCGCACCCTGGCAACCCCGACCACCTGTGAGATCTGTTGGCACTCCACAAGCTTCTTCAGCCGTGCACTCAGCATGGCCTGTGATGCAAAGCAGTTTCCAGCATCACAAAGGGGACTTCGGATGAGCTCAAGCAAGCGAAAACTTACGTGCTTTCGGCATTGCCTCGGGGGCATCTCCGCAGGGATGCTTCTGCAGCGAAGCAGCCGAGTATTGATCCAGAAACCTCAGACGGGAGAGCTCTTGCAGAAACCAGTAACTAGCCCCGGCTTGCATTGCGAAACTTCCTTCCATCTTCGCAGGTTGTTAGGCAAGCATGAACTTCGTTCGAAGCGCAGCAGGCCTCAAACTCACGGCTACCCATTTAGTGCCTGGCTCTTGCCGATCAGCCAGGTGCCGCATCCCGAAGCTGATGCTGTGCCTGATGGGCGATGCGAAGTCAGTAGAGCGTGGCAATATCTGAATCTAGAATGTCAGAATGACCAACCACAGGGCGCTGCTCCGAACAGCTGGGCACGTCAGCTATGTCTCCCGAATGCTGCGGGACATCCATGTCTTGTCCTAGTCATCGAATGCCCAGTTCATGCCGAGATGCTCCAGATGATCCATTACAGCTGCGACGTCCTGGCAGCTCTTGGCCGACAGACAAAGCAAACACCTTGAACCGCCCACACGTGCTGCAACACTGCCAGGACCACTGCAAGAAGCAGTAAGGGATGCTCAGTCCAATAGGGGAACAGATCCGGCAGAGTCGTGCAACACAGGACACTAGACCCACATGAAGATACTCTCAGTGACCGACCGCACGTTGGAAAACCTTGGAATCTCTGCCTTAAACCATGCTGACTCTCTGCGAAAGCCTCCGCTTCACAGCAGGTCGCCCCGCGGCCGAAAGCTCGGCTGTCGCAGGGAATATCTGCCTCAACTGTCCAAGAGGTCAGCACTGACAGGTGCTGTATCGTTCTTTTGCCAAGAGATATACGACACCCCAACGAGCCTTATATAGGCTCAGACAGCGCCTCCTGACATCAAAGATTCCCTCGTTGGGTTGAAAGGTTTTACCACCACTGTTGTCGAGTGGTTTCCTTTCCAGCCTCCAATCTGCCACGCTGCCGCCCCAAAGCATCAACTCTTAGCCAAAGTGGTGAAGGAACCCCAACCCCATGGCTGACTTCAGAACCCGCGCATGGGCAAGGCACAGAAACTGAAGCAGGTAGCGACCAGCCTGAGCCACACCACCCTTGCTGGTGTCCTGGGACCAGTTTCAAGGATGCTGGGACGTATCAACCCTTCACTCTGTCTCTGCTCAACGACCGGTCCGGCATCGCCAAACGGAAGGAGGCATTCCGGCAGTAGAGATCCTGCTTGTGGCAAGGCAGGCCGGCAATGACGCTGTTCGAAGTCCGTGCCACTTGCCTGCGGGAGCAGGGGAAGCGGCTGCGCCAACCTGGCTGTGGGCACAGTAGGTGCCAAGCACGCACGGTGACCGTCAGATATTTGGAGCAGATCAGATCCCTGTCTTCACATCTCTGTGCCAGCCACTCCCTCCAAGAGGCACTCTGCCCACATCACAGCTTTCTAGCAAGACTGTAAAGAACACATCCACACTGGACCTGGCCAGCCACCACCCTAGCAGGAGTCGCGGCATGGCGCTGTCTAGATCGATTCAGGCGCTGCACCCATTCAATAGCTGCAAACACGTCAACGTGATGCGCATCTACGCCTTTTTAAGCCCTCCATGGCTCCGTCGCTTCCTGCTGACACAAAACTGCCACGTTTTAAGTTCTAATTAGGTTCCAAGGTCCTAGGTCGCCTTGGGACAAGTTTGTTTGTGTAGCCACTGCATGTCAATAATAACATAGGCTGACGGATGTTTGTTGCTTGCGACACCCGTGGGCTCAGACAAAGATATGGTTGAAACAGTTCCGGGCATTGCTGCGTGCTGCTTCTGCAAGCCAGTGATGCTGGACAGACATGGCCTTAACGCTGGCGCGTAGCATCGACCCACATGCCTTGCCAAACCATTCGACGGTGGGATGAGGCAGCCATTGTCACAACGACTTCATGAAGGGAGGGAGGCAGCCGGGCATTTTTCCATCGTACTCCCGTCCCGCTGTCCAACCGGAAGTCGCGCGAAACGATGCGACCGCCACACATGTTATTGATTGGCTTGTATCAGGGCATCCCACTTAATTCTCGACGAGGCTTATCCTTGAAACCTGGCTTGCTCTTGCACTCGCAAGACATCATCAGACATGGCACTGCTAGAGCTTGGTCTATGTCAATGTGCAAGGATGTGCAAGGGACGTGTGATGGTAGAGCGGGAGCGGAGCGTCACCGCCGGCGCCGACGGGATCGCGACCTATGCTGTGTTGTTTCAAGATGTCAATGTTCAAAGTTGAAGTGAATTGGAAGGATTCTGAGCTCCGGCACACCACAGCATGTCAAGGAGTTGGGGTTCTTGGAGGGATCTGTCCACCCTCCAGAATGCTCATGTCTGCCGGCGGCCTGCTTCTGCTGCTGGCCGAGCCATGCGCATCATGGCTTTGCCGAGGACCTGATGCACGTCTTTTTCATGCTCTGGATGTCAAGCCAGTTTTCAGGGCTACAGCAGGAGATTGAATGTAATCGAACGTGTTCTGCGATCCGACTCTCGTCCAATGCGAGCAGTTGAAGGGAGACCACAAATCACAGGAGTGCCAGGACCGGGAGATCCACGAGCCTGCGTAGTGGAGGCAGGTCAGCCGCAAGGAGCTTTTCGTTTGCCTGGCGGCAGAGGGCCATGCTCTTCTGAGCCCGGGCCCGGGCGGGAAGTTCCATGGCCACCACCTTGCCAGCTCCAGGAGCATCTCCTCGGCTGGCTCCGACCTTGGCGACTGATGCGTCCTTGCGCCCACGACTCCGCCTCAAGGCCGTGGCACGCCATTCACGCACACGATGCGATCGTGCTCTTGTATCGCTTGCTGTGGGCTTGCCTGCGTGCAAAGATGGAAAGAAATTCGCAGTGAGACACATGTGAGTATGCGAACAGTCAACGTAGTGGATATACCAACAGCTCGGTTCCCAAAGCTTTCATGTTTGCAGCAGCCGGGCGTCTCATCTTCAATTCAAGTCTCGAAAGAATGCCGCCGAGGCGTGGAGGGCTGAGCAGGACACCTTGTTCCAGTCATCGACTGCGCCTGCCACGAATCCACGAGCATGCAGCATATTGTCAATTGTCAGTCATCCCTTTTTGGATGTCGTGCAGAAGCAAACGGCCAAGCTTACTGCCCCATACTGCCCCGGCCTCTTGCAATTGTGTCAATCCACGGTTTCAACGACCGCGCAGGCACGTAGTTTGCAAGAACCCCAAGTTTCCTGCATAGCCACATGTGCACATGTGCCGCTCATGACCGTGCAAACGTGTCGCGAAGCTCCAAGATCTACAAGTGGTTGCAGACGCGGTCCCAGGCTGCTTCAGGACCACAGTCCGCTGCTGCGGCCGCTGAAATCGCAGGGTTGCCTCTGGTCTGCAGACTTGCAACGAAGCAGCCTCTGGACCCGGCAGCCGCTGAACCGTTCGCCCGCTCCAAAGACCCGAAAGGAGAAGATCTGAGCTCCTCCCTTGAAAGCTCTCCTCTCGGCTGTTGCCTCGGAGCTGTGCATGGCTTTCTCCTTGCAAAGCGCAAAGCCACACGTCACAGAGCGGAGCTGCAGGCTGCGGATAGATGCGTGCGAGCCGCCAGCGCATCCCGCGCCCTGGTTCCATTCACCTCAATGAGGCGGTCGAAGACCTCCAGAAGACGGACGGGCTGCGGCAAAAGGCTCTTCTGCCGCCAGTCCCCAGCCGGCCTGAATGGGATGTTCGGGCAGCGACCTCGGAATGGGTGATAGCAGCATCCGTGGGCAGCTGCATCAAAAGGCAGCAGAGGGCGAAGGCTCTCACTTGTTCCACTTGCTCACGGCCGGTGTGATCTCCTTGATGATCAAGAAGTCCTTCTTCGGCGGTGGCGTGCAAAAATTTCGCTGTTCAGACGAGCCCACTCCTCGTCGGAGGTGTCCAGAGACAGGTCCAGCTTGCGCAAGGTGACGGAAAAGTAACCTGACTCCTCCGAGCAATGCTCACTTGAAGGTGCAGTACTTGCCTTGAGTTCGCCTTAATTTCCCTCCCACTCTAGCTTTCACAAGTCACCGCCTCGAGCCTAGCTAGTCGTGTCATGGCGCACATCCCATCAACATCTCGCCTCCTCGGCAGCCGGCGCGACGGAAGACCTCGCAGCCCAGAACCGTCACATTGCCTCACATGCCTTCTAGTGATGGCAGACATGGCGAAAGATGATCTCTGAAGCTGCAATCTCTTTACTCCTATCTCGTTGCTTCAGCATTCTCTCACTTGACTATCCACTCCAACCTGTTCGAAAAGACTTCAAAAGGTGGCGGCAGAGTTTGCGCCTCTCATCTTCATCGCCCCGGTCCTCAGTCAATCGGCTGCTCGGAGAAAGCTCGGGCTTCGTGCAGAATCCCATAGCCTCTTCGCTCCAAAACCCTCTCGGAGAAGCGAGACTGCCATTCTTGATGGAGCAACCCTGTAAAACTGTTCACCCACGTGCTGCCATGATGGGTTTCTCTGTCTTTCACTGCAGCTTGGCCTTCTTCGAACCTGCTTGATCTTCGGCACAGGAAGCCGCAATTTCAACAAACTCGAACGGCCCTTTAACAGCACTGCCCCAAAGCCGGGCTTTCTGGGGCCCCTGCTCGTCCGCCACCTGAAAAAATACGTCTCGGGTGTTCGCTCCAAAGCTTCGATCTCTTCGGAACTGCAACCAGTTCATCGGTATTGGGCTTCCAGGTTGTTGTCCGATTTCAGGATGTGCTGAGCCATGTTCTAAGTGCAGATGCTGGAATCCTAAAGGGGCACAGGGCAACGAAGGTTGAATGTGGTCTTGGTGAGCCCCCCCCGGTCAGACCCTCCAAGTCACGAAGACCAGAGAAGTCCGTGAGCTCTGACCCACGGCACCCGAGACCCAAGCCGTTGCTTTGCGCACCATTGATCCGAGCCTGGACGGAGGAGCTTATAGAGCTTACTGCTGGAGGATGGATGCTTTAGGACTAAAGAGCTCCTGGCATGGTGAAGGCCCGCGCGCAACTTACCTACCGCGCTTCGCCTCGAAACCCCAGTTACTTGCTGCATTGGTGCCTTCGGGGAGAAGTCAGGGTAAGCATTCCGCGACTCTTCAAAGTACCAGCCGGCAGCAAGGAGTACCGAGTACTGGCAGCAATGAGCCCTTGCAATCACAGCAACAATGCCAGTACGGTCACGGCAACTTCGGTGTCCAGCCTCGAGAAACTCTTCCAGCTTCTCTTTCGTTGCCTCGTCCAGCGCGGCAACACGCGCCTGGCTGCAAACACTCTCTTATGCGATACGCAGAACTTTAGTAATGTAGACCCCTGACGTTTCAAGACCTTGCTATCTGGGGATCCGTACTACGATCCTGATTTAGCGAAGGCAGCGAATTCGTTCGGGGGCCCTAAACCCTAGACTCTACACTGCCACAGCCTAAGCCGCCGCTGATGACTTGCTCTTTCCTTCCGTGGCCGAAGGTCCTGTCCAACCCTCAGCCAAGCGGCTGCCCGCTCGCCCGGCGACAGGGCTGTGAGGCGATCCCAGAGTGCTGCAATGTCAGGACCTGTTGAAGGTAATCAGGATCATTGGGGAGATTGGGACTTTGGGGTCTCATGCTTTAGGATTTTGCGGGTAAGGTCTGCAACCACGGGATGATAGCATGGAAGCTTTGGGAAAGCGTCGTTGGTCGCGGGGCTTGAATTGCAAGACTTGGCAAGGGTCGAGTTTGACTTCTGGCTGACGTTTTCTGTTACCTGTCAATGTGGTGGGTGGTTGAAAACGGTCGCGGTCCATTCGTCGATGAGACTTGCACTGTCAGTCAGTTTCTGAACGACCGGCCTCGGGCATCGTCCCGCGATCTGCTGGCATCCTTCCACAGTCCGCACGCTGGTCATCACACATGTGCTGCTCGAGCTCACATAGCTAGTGCCATGGACTTGGGCCGTGCGCATGGCCAATTGGTAGGTGGCTCAGACTTAACCATCAAAGCCCTCCCACTACTTTCTGCTCGCAACTTCTGTGGCTTGGTCTGCACCAACCCAAGCCCAAACACAACCTCCAGGTGGCCTTGCGGGAGCTCTCCTCGGCCCTGAGGAGCCGTTGCTCACTGTCGTTGAAGGGCGAAGGCTTCATAGATCATGACGTGATGCAAACTGCTCGAAGCAACGACATAGGCACTTAGGGTGCCTCACAGCTACTTACTGGGCGAGACGTTGGCGACGTATTCGGGGTCGAACACTACGTGAAACTAGCTTCCGTCAATAATGTCAAGCTCTGCTGGGGATTCGCCTAGACTCGATCTGAATGATGTCATGGGAACATGCATGATCCTGATGAAGAAGTCACACATGTCGAAGCGCAGTCATGTGTTGCATCCAGCAGCAGGGATGCCTCTCAGCAGTCGCACCAGCCTTGCGACGCTTGCAACAAGACATGAACTCTAGAGTCAGAGAACCTTCTTCCAAGAGTCCTCCGCCCTTCGCAATGGCTGACTCATGAAAGAGATGTACATGTTCGGGCTTTTCGCTTTTCCACAGGTCGCCTCGTCCTCCTCCACTTCTCCTTTTTTCACGGCCTGACACAGGCAAAAGCTCTTACGCTGGGGATTGGTTTGGGCGAGCGTCTGCACGGAGAAGTGTCTTGCAACGACTATTTAAGCGGCAGAGACTTGGGATTGCGCTAGGGAGCGCGGAAAATGCGACAGAATGGAACTGCACTGCTTAGCCTTGAACATATTAATATACCGCCGCCTTCTTGTAGAGCTTGTGCAGCGCATAGTCACCTGATCACTGGACAGTGGCTGCCATTCGTGCTACGGTGAAATACCGAGGCTGTACTAAACCATACTGTAGATTAGAGTTGGTTAGAGACTACAAACAGCTGCTCAATGATCAGAGATGGCAGCAAGGTAAGCTTCTGGTACAAACAGGTGTGGTAAAATCTGCTTTGGTTTTGCAGTCACCGGAACAGCAGGCTTCCGAGATGCCACGACAAGTTTTAGGTTTTATTGCATTCCACTGCATTTCAACGACCTTGCCAGCACTCGTGGCCTCCTTCCAGAAACTTCTGCTGCTTCTGCGAAAAGAGAACTGCATGTGCTCGCACCTGCAAAGTGCTTGTGGAAGGCTTTGTCACGAGTGCCAGACGTCTCGGCCCACTCCCGGTACGTCTTGGTGGCTGACCAAACGATACATCTTTGCCCCCAGCTTGCTAGAGCAGTCGTGGGAGAACTTCGCCTTCCCAAGCTGAGCATGCCAAGCCCAATATGCCATGCACACTTGCACACACTGTCACAAGCTAAAACTTCAATCTGCTCAGTTACGTATCAATAATACAGCTGTATGCCTTCTCCCGACATGAGCCGCACTGGAAGCGCTTAGAGTCTGGCATGGGTCATAATGTCGTAGATGGCGGTCTTTTCCGCTTTGCCTTCTTGGCCTCAGAACCCAAGGCTGTTGTGGCACTCCGTAACTCCAGGCTGTGCAACGCGCGACGCACCGAGCACGAAGCATTTCTGCAGCGCTTTGGCCAGCCATTTCATCCGATGCTCCGGCTTCATTCCATGGACCTGCCAGTGAAACCAGTCCCAGGTTTAAGGGCCACCGGAAAAACAATCCACAACTCGGCGCGCCTGCTTCGGATCCACTTGCAGCGTGCTGGATTCCTTCCGAGGCAGTACGGTTGTGAGGTGTGCAGGTTCCGTGACTGTCGGAGCGTCCTCCTTCTCCTCTTTCTTGGTGGACTGCTTTTTCCTGCCCAATCAGCCATTTGCCCCTCCGATGCTGCCGCATCTCTCGCGGCCCGCCTGGTGACGACCTCGGCAGGGAGCCGCCGGTTCATCGGATTCGCGTCATCTGGCACACCCATGGCTCGTGGAGCCACGAGGGCAGGTGCCGGGGATGACAAGCGTGGACCCCTTTAGAAGGGCAACGAACACATGGTACACTTAGGCTTGCTTGCCTGTTCAGCTGCAGACTTCAAGACGCGGCTACAAGTCAGTCAAGGGTGGGACAAGTCGAGGTCCAGGTGTGTCGTAGATCGAGCGTAGGAGTTGACGGGGCACCGTCATTAGTTAATCGGCTTCGTGCAGGAATTACAAACTTGCAGGCTCTGAGAAAGGCTGCGGAACTCTGATGATCGGCCTATTGGCCAGACGCGGTACAGATTCATGATGTCTCACGTCCGGCATGGTGTTCCGCAAAGGCTGTGATCGCACAGGACACATGCTTTGGTAAGGCTTGGACCAAGTGATGACCAGGAGGACTTTCGATTTGGAATGCTGCATGCAGATCACGCCGCGGATCTTTTCAAGTAACTGTTAGAGTTATGCACGTTCCAAGCCGCTGAGCTGGGCTTGCAATTCAGGGCTTCGGGGGCCCAGGGACTATGAGTGTGCATGCAACGGCGTGTCAATTCGAGTGAAACTATCCTAAAGCTAAGCTACGCTCTGAAGTCGTCATCGCTGGCTTCCAGCACTTCTGTCGTGATGACGTCTTCTTGCAGTATTCAGCTCGCTGTTTCCGACTGCTTAGGCTACAAGGACCGATCATAAATCCTCACACCAGCGATCCGCTCCTAGAAGGGATGGGTGCTTGATCTGTACATCCCGGCGTGGTCCAACGTTCTTGGGCAGTGGCAGTGACTTGCTGCAAAGTCTTGGACCATGCCAGGTTGCCAAGCCCAGGTGGAGAAGATTCGACGCTACCGTCAACGCCAAGAAGTGAGCAAAGGCAAAGTAAGTCCCGTCAGCAACGGGTCGTCCAAGGGCCTTACAATGTTGTAAACCGGGTAAGGAGGAGAAAAAAGTGCACCGAACGGCACTTGCTTCTTGGAACGGCTGCAAATTCAAGTCTTCTGTCGGGTCATGTGGTAGGGCCACCACCCTGCGAGAGACTCCTTCCTGATGGATACTTACCGATGGTGTGGTCTTTGGTGTCTCCTCTTTCTGTATGTCTTTCCTTGTTCCCAGGGGTTGGTCAGAGTACACTGGCTCTGGGCAACCCAGCACAGATCCTCCCGTCCTTCCTCTTCGTCTGCATCGTCATATTGTTATGGTAATTTTTCTTCGTCGTCGTCTTTGCATTCTCTGCGTGGCTCTCTGTCTCTCTCTCTCTCTCTCTGTTCTTTCTCTCCCCCTCGCGCTCTCTCTTTCTGTAGGATTCAGAAGCAGAAGTCAGATCCGAAAAAGGCTCCCGAACATACTTCGCTTGTACTTTGTGAGCGGTGGGGTTTGCCCTGCGAAAGACTTCGCGTGGGCATAGACGTGCCGTTTCGAGCTGTAGCACTGTAGCACTGCGCATGCCTCAAGGGCGTTGTGCTGAATCTGCCAACTTCACGACCCCAGAACTCCGTCTTCCATGTTCACTGAGAGCAGTGCCGTTAGCTTCCTCCGATTCCGGGAACCTTCACAATGTCGCTGGAAAGACAATCACCGAGCGTAGCTTTGATGTGGGGGATTGTACATTGCGACTGGCATGATTCCAAGCTGCTCCTTGCGTATGCCTTGTACCGGATTCGCACACAACCCTGAACTGTTCGGCGGCTGATGTGGTCCACAGAAGACGATAATTGAACCACCTTCAATTCCAATACCCATCACCTGCTTCAAACTTCCTCGACGGTGGAAGACCGGAGCGCTTCCGCCTGCCTGGAACAGGCTCGGACAGTGTCACAAGTCACAAGCGCCAGGGAACTCAAGACGCCTTCGGCCGCGTAAAGCAGAACTTGGCAGAACCTGACCTTCTGTCAATGCGGCCTGAGTATGCACACCTGTACATCCTCCAAAGTCTCCCAGCTTCTACACTATACACATGCACGGGGCCTCGGTTCCAGATGGCTGGGGCATGTTCCTGGGGTTCAGGCAGCTGGTTTTACACAATTGTCACTATCCAACCTTTCACTCACACCCTGCGTCTCTTCGAAAACTGCATCGTCAATCGTCAAGTGTCACAATGGTCTGTCGGCATATCGCTATGATGATAGGCGGCTGCTTGACCAGGCCTACACCAGATCCGGTGACTGCTTGGTCCACTGCTTGGTTTGGGCTTCAGACATGAGCCAACAACAGCGTGTACCTAGTGTACCCGAGAACAACGAGAGTGCTCCGTCCACAGTCAAGTCTGTCGGTCTTCAAAGCAGTCCATATGAATTCAACACGCCAGGTCTCAGCGTGTCCGCATCTTTGGCGACTTCTCTGCTCAGCACGTTTCTGCCTCGGCATTCCAGCTTTGGCTTTCGGCATGAAACCAAAAACTTATGTTGCCACCGTTGGAAAGCCACCAGCAGCCTCGTTTCAGATGTTCGCAACACCGATCCTTAGGCTGCAGCGCCCATATCCGGCGCCTGCCTGTCATGCATAGGATGCTTTGACTGCTCCAAACTGCTGTGCTGCTTTGTTCTCCCATTGCTGCTACTGCTACTGCCATTTCTACCACTACTACTGTTTCTCCTCCTCCTGCCTCATCCTCCTCCTGATGCTGCTACTGCTACGGCGGCGGCTCCTCCTCCTCCTCCTCCTCCTCCTCCGATGCCTCTTACCAAACCCTACTCCTCCTACTCCTTACCTACTACCGACTACCTACAGACTCGTAGTAGTACTAGCTACTACTAGTAGTAGTACTAGTAGTAGTAGTAGTAGTAGTAGTAGTAGTAGTAGTAGTAGTAGTAGTAGTAGTAGTAGTAGTAGTAGTACTAGTACTAGTACTAGTACTAGTACTAGTACTAGTACTAGCTACTACTAGTACTAGTAATAATAGTAGTAGTAGTAGTAGTAGTAGTAGTAGTACTAGTACGTACTAGTACTAGTACTAGTACTAGTACTAGTACTAGTACTAGTACTAGTACGAGTACGAGTACGAGTACGAGTACGAGTACGAGTACGAGTACGAGTACGAGTACGAGTACTACTACTACTACTACTACTACTACTACTACTACTACTACTACTACTACTACTACTACTACTACTACTACTACTACTACTACTACTACTACTACTACTACTACTACTACTACTACTACTACTACTACTACTACTACTACTACTACTACTACTACTACTACTACTACCTACTACTACTACTACTACCTACTACCTACTACCTACTACCTACTACCTACTACCTACTACCTACTACCTACTACCTACTACCTACTACCTACTACCTACTACTACTACTACTACTACTACTACTACTACTACTACTACTACTACTACTACTACTACTACTGCCGATGCTACTGCCATTGCCACTGCACGGCACGGCTCCGAGCAAACAGAGATTGTTGCAGAAGCGAGGCTCATAAACGGAGAGGCAACTAGAGTCGACCGGCCTCCCGCTGAAGAGCCTCCAGATGTTGCTCGTCGTCCTGCTCACACGTCAGTATTCTTGGACTCGTAGCGACGAATGACTTTCCTACCAAGTTCTCGATTGGCCACGAGCGAGTTTTGCTGCAACATGTGTGTGCACCTACGTCGTAAGCCTCTAATCTGTCGCCCTGTGGCTGCTTGTCTCGTGTCTAGCGCAGAGCACGGGGCTCCACCAAAAGAAAAAAAAGATGTCACTCCCCGCGATGCTGTCCTTCGCAGCCTCTCTGGCTAGCCTCAGCGGAATGCGCACGGAGCAGGGTCGCTGCTGATACTAAGAGCTATAGACTCCTTGCGCGTAGCTTCAGTACTTCGAACGTTCTTGGATGTTGGAACAGGTATCAGCTTTTCAGCCTTCTTCGGCGAACTTCTTGGGTTATACTTCACGCTTACAGGCTGAAAGGTGAATATTAATTTTGTCAGCTGCTTTGAATTCAGGAACCACTGGTTCAGGTCCTTCGTTGCAGATAAACGACGCATGACTCTCCACGTGCCAGTCTCTGCACCTTTGCTGTTCACTGAGGACACATAGTTGTCTACACTGCTGTCCTGGTCGTTCACAAGCACGGCATGCATTGCGATACACTGGACTTGTATTTCCAACCATGTGCAGCGTTCCGAATTCGATTGCTGCAGCTCCCAAAGCATACTTCGCAATTACAACTGCCGTGTGCAGTTGGCTAAAGTTCCCATTGAATGTGCAGGCGTCAGCATGTTGTGGACGTGGTACCGGTTAGGGAGATTGAACATAGCTGCAGGTCCAAAGTCTGTTGGTGCTGTAAAAGAGCAGAGGTTGCCACAGCGTGCATATAGACGTATCGTCTATACCATGGGCTGGGCGAATCTCTGAGACAAACAAGTCCAAACTGCCACAGTTCGAGGCGCTGCACCTCATCGCAGTACTGTCAGTAGTGCTCATTCTGTGTCCTTGTCACTTGCCACTGTTTCGACAAGAGCTGCACCCCGTTCAAGCTCGGCTCTTGTGATCCCCAACAAGCATGCCAAGCCCATCCAACATGGAACTTGTTGAAGTGAGTGGCCCTCCCCGAACGCCTGTTGAATTTTCAGGCTGCTGGTGCCAGTGCCAAAACAGGACTCAAACAGGAACCCAAGAAGAAGTCTCGAGGTCCAAGGCCAGCGCACGTTCCTCCGGGAGTAGTCGCGCTCAAGGCAACTGAGGTCATCTGGAAGGACTTGGGCATAAGCATTCAGCGGCGCCTGAGGATCTCAGGAGTTCTCTGAACGTCCCCCCCAGGACTTCTTTCGGCGGAGGCCTTCTGCGGGAGCCACTCCAGGACCTGCGGAGCGTCCTTTGAGGGCTGGGCTCTCAGGCGCTTGAACTTCAACTTTCTTTAGGACTCTGCAGACGATGCTTGCAAGCGCTCTGAGTTTTGTTGTTCGTTGGGTTGTGTCCTTCATCTCTCGGAGGAGCAAGGCCCGGCGAGCTGCTGTGGGCTCGCGCTCGTTGGCTTCGAAGTTGCTTACCCTGGCAGGAGGAATTCTGGGAGTTGCGCTACGTGGAAGGCCAGCACAAACTGCAAACCCAATCGACAGTGCAGAGGCAGCCACAAACTGGTCGAAGTCGCATTGAACAAGCGAAACCACAAAGAGTCTTTGATGCAGACCATGAACATGCTTGGACTCTTCTGCTCCCTCCGCTTCCCATGATCAATCCCCGTGAGGCCGCTTTGCTTCTTCGGTGCAATGCCTCCTTCCGCCCCCCCACCCTCCAGACCATGCAATGTCTGCATTTGTTTGCCGCTGGTCGCACTCTTGGAATTCCATTTTGGCAGTAACCTGCTTGCAGGATACAGCTTGACTCCTCCCATTCTTTTCCTATGCTCAGAAGCATGCATTTGTGAATGAACTAACGCGGTCAGAGCTCCTCACCCAACCATAACATACCCAAAAGCAACCCAGTTCTCGGTGTCGACACCCGAACTTGCCTGCAGCCGCATAAAGAAACCCAAAACAAACCTATCTGCAAAAGCATCCAGCCGAGGTCCGCGACATGGACTCCGACCCGTTCTGCTTCAAAGCAGTCCCGTGCATCGCGACGTGCCAATCGCTTCCCATGTAATTCTTCGGTTCGGACATGCTCACTATGCTGCGTTAAAGCACAAGATGTCGGCTCCGACGCGAAGTCCACAATCCGTGGCGAGCGTAATGTCGTGCACCCTGTGGACTCAGGTCGTGGGCATGCTGTTCCAGCTTCTTGTTGCTTGTCTGAGCTTGAAGAACATCAGAGACACGGCCGGTGAATTGCCAAGGCTGTTCCCAAGCCTTTGAACTCTCCGGGAGTAAAGTCTTTGGGCGGATCACTGTTTGCATCTCCTCGCAAAAATATGAAGTTGCACCGATCTCGTCTGACAGGGTGCTGCTTTGCGATTTTCTCGAAAGCGCGGTTCGCCGTGGCCCCAGTGTCCGGTGTGACTGATGCCTAGCAGACCGGAGACACGCAGTGACTGCAGGGGAGGAGAGTGAGAGGTGCAACAAACTGCCAGGGTTTCTTGCTCCAGTGGATGCCCTTGAAGGAGCTGACTTCTTTGCCTGACACAAGATGAAGAAGCGCAAGGCCACCAGAAAAGCTTAAGTTCCGTGCAGGCTGTACGTGCAGCTGGCCTAGGATGTGCCCTCGTTTGAAGTCTGGCTTCTCCTGCAACTCCCATGAGCTTGAGGGAGGATCCAGGAGATTCGAACAGCTTAAGCAGAGGGCATACGGCATGCTAGTGGCGTCAACCGGTCATCCCTCCCTGGCCGCAGTCCTCGCAGATCCGACCTTCGGTCCTTCGGGACGCCGCACGACAGACGCGAAATGAAGCGAGTCGTTGGGGTTTAGGATCAAGCGGCCATGCCGCATGCTAGCGCTACTCGTGAACCATATCCCTCACAGCGTCTCAGGGTTCGTCCTCCGCGGTGGCCCGATCTCGAGTGCCTGCAGACGATAAACGACAGCAGATGCACAAATGAAATCAAAGCAATCATAGTTAGCAGCCTGCAAAAAACAAACATGTTTCAAAGCAGACACAATTACAAACATCCATCACCCTGCCCCATGGCGGAGGAAACCGGGACCGGGGCCTGCCTGGTTCTCTACGCACTCACGCCTCGGGCCAAAAGCGTGGCCAGAGGGTGCCAAAAAAAGAGGAGAAGAGGAGAAGAGGAGTTCTCTACGCACACAACACGAAGCTTCGCTTCGCTCAGTCCCGGGCTCGCGAGTCAGAGCGTTCACCCTGGCAAACGGGCTCTCCTGCCACATGGAATGTCCCTTTACTGTGAGTCAGCAGCCGTTGAAGGTGCCCAGACTGACTTCGCACTCGGTTTCAGGCTGTGCGCGGCCGGCGCAACTCCGAGGGGAGAACGACATGGCCTGAGATCGGCAGGCTTCTCTTCTGTGGAGGAATTTGCAGGAGCCTCATTGCTTTCACGTGCCAATGGGATGGGAAGACCATCTGTCTGTGCTTTACCGAGGTCCGAGGTTTTCGTGATCTCGGTAACGTCCCTCCGATCGCACGAGTCTGGAGATACGAGAGCCACCCGACTCGTTTGTTTCAACGCTGCTTCTGGGAAATTCGTCCCCTCGCCCAACCTGGCTTGGGAGACGGGTGTAATCGCGCCCGGAATCCTGATGCCTTCTCCAGCTGTGCAGCGGTCAGCTGATACAAGGCTGTACACTGTCTGTTACTTAAGACTTAAGCCTTCAAAGGCGATGAAGCTGTAAACCAAAGCGGAACCTGACAATGTCGTCCCTGTTGGACGGCGGAAGCTGCGGTGACTCGTGCGCACGTCAGTCTATCCCTGTTCACTGACTCGGTGCTACGTGCGGGATATGCAGTCGAATCTCGTCTTCCGCAGATAGTTTTGGCAGAGGTTCGAAAGGTGACATGTAACTGCAAATAGTCTGGTATCCCAGTTACTGCCAGTAAACCTAACCTTCACCTATCGCTCGTGCAATGCACACCGCTTCTCGCAAGCTCCTGGCTGTCACCCACCCCGTACTTCCTGGACCAGGTGTCCCGGGCCAGCGCTCCTCCAGCGGAGGGAGAAAGGATGCAAGCAACGCAAGACAAGAATCCGCACTCGCGGACTCGCCTGCCGAGTTCGGCTTGGGGGTCGGCCGAGGCCTTCCAAGAGCTTGGACAATTCAGGCGTCGCATGGCGTGCGGGCGTGCGGCTGAGGCATCGCTGAGCTTCCCACGCTCTCGGCACCGGTGGAGCCTTCCACGCGGCATTGGAAGCGGCAACAGGACGGAACTGTGGGAGGTTGCAGAAGGTTGCAACCGGCCTTGCCATGAGATGCTTCAACTGAGCGATCTCGCCTCTGAGACCGAGCCAGCCGGACAAAGACAAAGATCTTGCGCAGTGCTTTGTGACTGCGAATGGTCAGCTAAGGCACGGGCCTCGGCAGCATCGCGTGATCCTTCTGCCGGAGCATTGCCTCGTGCTCGGCTGCACTTGGACCGGCTTTGCCGCTGATGGGCAGGCAGGAGGGAGCTTCCCTGCTCCACATGCGGAATGCCTGTGACAACCTGAACCCACCAAAAAATTGCAAAATTCACGACTTCCGGAACAGAGGCTCTCCACAAGCCACTCCCGAGTACGCGAAACCGATGGCGGCCTTGCCGAAGGACATCTTCTGCAACCAGCGGAGCCCAGAGCGCACGCGGCGCACATGCACCCCGTTGTGAATTCGCGCAGCTAGACTCGGAGCCATGCAGGAGACCAGAATCCACGCAGTGCGCACACCCTTGCACCGTCCACCTTGACGTCCAAAGCCCCGAAAAGCAATGCAAAAACCTCGTTGACTCCTTTAAACTACGCAAGCGCCTTGATGGGCCCAGTTCCACGAACATGAAACTATGTCACTGTGTCTGTGCTTCAAACTTTTCAGTGCCCTGTGCGCTTCATGCCCTGCTGCCTCTGGGGCAAACCCTCAAGCGTATGACAGGCTTTGATACGTCTGCCTTCATGTGGAATGCGCAAGTGAGGCTGTTGAAGAGAGATGCATGAAGCGCAAAGGCTAACGGGGGCTTCTTGTGAAGCGTGAGTGCTGGGCGGGTGCCAGCAGTGTGGTGCTGTGCGAGATTCTCGTAAGTACTCACAACTCTGCTGTATCTCGCACGGCACGAAGTCAGAAATATTTACACGAAGCCTGCTGTCCCGGAAGATGCTGCTTGCTTCCGTCGTCTATGCTTCCGCTGAGTCAGAACATCCGCTATCTGAGTTTAGCCAGCAGCAAGGGACAGCAAGGGACTAAATCACAGCAGTCTTCGCGGCTTGCCACCGCCGTCCCGGAAGATGCTGATGGCTTCCATCGGGAATGCTTCCAAGGCATAAGAGCACTAGCTGAGTGTGGCTGGCGGCACAGCATCAAGGGACAGCAAGGTATAGCGAAATCACAGCTGGATAAACGCTGTTACTTCCACCAGTTGGTCTCGACCGGTGGCTCCGAACACGTGAAAAATTGCGTCATCAGCATCAGGTAGCTCGACGATGCCTCAGCGACTGCGGCTTGCAAAAGGCACCCGACTACAGTTAGGTAGTCTCGCAAGTGGTGATGCAGATGCAGATACCCCACCTGCAAGACACGAAGAACCCTTCCAACTGCTCGTTGCAGGCTGCGGCGATGCAGCCAAGCTGCACTTGCTCTCGGTAAAATGGGAACTTGCGATGCGCATCTCCTCCAAAGATGAAGACGAAGCACATCCCGGGAACAACTCGTCAAGTTGCGATTCTGCTCTTCAATTTGCGCTGCAACCAACTCTTTTACTCGCAGCCGGATTGGTCACTTGAGCTCCTCGTACTTGTCGCTTCTATGACTCCTATAGAGACCTGGAAAGTCCACCACAAGTCCTTCGATTTGCGGTATACAGACACGATACAGACACTAACCCTGCTCCCTGGGCAGCTCCCGAACCAATGCCAAAAGTGAACTTCCCTTTCTCATGTCTTGAAACCACGCCGGTTTCCCATTGGCCGTGCAAGCCGCGCTTGCACCTGCTGGGCATAGCTGAGAGTTGCGATCTTAGAGCCAGTGGACTGAGTCTGAGGATGGTTTAGACACATGGCAGGCACGTATGCCTGCACCGCGTGCCCCGTGATCCGGTGCAACTGCGCAAGCGTGGCTGATCCCAGCCGTTGCACGACGAAGGACATCCGAGAAAAGCTCTTGACATGGCCCGGGCCGGGACGAAGGCTGTGGCCGGGGTGGCTGCTGCAACAAGCTCAGGCTATAAAATCAAAACATTGCTTCCCTACTGGGCGCAAGGTCTCAGATGTCTCTTTCTTGCCACATCACAGCTCAGGCTTCGAACCTGGCGCTGTAAGAAACTTTTAGAGGTTACAGCAGCGTCCATACACTACTACAGACTTCCACCCAAACATGTGCTAGCGACGGAGTAGCAACTCTCGACTGAGCTTCATTCTGTTGGCCGGGAGTCCACTGCTAACACTGTACCATAATCATTCGCACGGGCCGGCCAGAAGCCGCTCAGACGAGGATCATCTCGATCTGGTCTTTCAGGTCCTGTCATCTTAAACAGCGCAGCGCTCTCTGCAGCCAGAACCGGGCCCCCGGAGCCTGTATCTGCGTGTTGAGCTGAGAACCTTCCTTGGACGTGATCGAACAGGAGATCACCGGCCTGCCGGCGAACAGGGTCCTAAACCCATCTGCTGCAGGATTGCAAGCCTACCCCTCTATCCTTCATCCTTTACGGAGCATGCCCACTTGATTTGAAGGCAGCTGGAGTGCATCGCACCAGCAGACCGACCCTTCGGGTCCCATCCTGGCCTTGAGACCCCGCAGGCTCGGCCCAAAGCCGTCTTGGACTTCACGAAAACATAGGGCACGTTCTTGTCTTCACAGACCAGGGGCCTGCAGCCGAAGGACCCCTCACACCATCAGAACATCCATGACCCACAGCAAGGACTTCCCAAGCTCATTCCCGTCAAGTGGCAAGTGCAAAAGGATCTCCAGTGGCTCGGCATCCGCGGCAAGGATCACAAGTTCGGCGGTGCCACGGTTCAGAGTCTTCGTGGCCTGGAGGGCGAGTGAGCGACCGAGGACATCAGGAAGACGGCATGTCGTTGATCATGCGCTTCTATAGGTCCGCACAAGCAGCACTGGTGTTTTGGTTCGAACTTCATGGGACCGTCTCTCATTTGATCCTAGCTGAGTGGCGACTGACACTTTTGAATTGCGACATCCTGGATCAAGGCATCTGGCCTCGTTGGCACCCTTCTTTAGCTGCTTGTAGTTTGCTGCTTGCTGCACCAAATCCAGGATAGTGACGGTCAGCGTCTCCTCAAGCCACAAGTCAGACCGTTCTTCTACTCTGAGAGCAAAGTGACTCAACTGACTTGCCCTCGACTACCCACCGAACCCAGGCAAATGTACCCCCATGTTGCTGCCTTCTGATGTGGATGAGGCCAGGCGGCCGAAATCCAGGCTTTTGAATGTACTTGGTCCGCACTGTTGAAAGCACTTGCATGACTTGAACCAGATGTGTCCGTGAACAAACCTAGCAAACAGAAGCCGAATTTCAATTCAATTTGCAAGCACCAAACTGCTGACATGTACCACGCCGATCCCGGCCTTGGCCAAGGGATAGGCCTGCAGGTGCCAATGAACGGGGGAGGCAAGTTGAAGCTGACGGGAACAGGCCGTCTTCGGAGGAACGCAAAAGGAGCGAGCCCACTGGCGCCGGCCTTCGGATTGACTTCCTCTTCCTCAGCCATCGCTCTCAACCCGAAATCCCAGGAAGTGGTCGAAGCTTGAGCCCGACTCAGCGACAGCGGACAGCGCTTCACTTGCGACACTGCAGCAGAAGAACTTCTCCTGCCGGCTCTTGCATGGCAGACTTGGAACATCACTCGGCCATTTTCCTCACTACCTTCCTCCAGCTGAACTTTGGCCTTCCAAACCAGATTCGAAAGCCTCCCAACCGAATTTCTGAAATCGATGGCACAGCAAAGACGATTCCCAGGTTGGCAATGTGCGCCTCGTTTGAAACTGAGAACCCGAACCGGCATGGCAAACAGCCCTGGCGAGGGAGGGCGGCTGGGCTGCACTGAACGCACAGGGCCAAGGGTGCACCAAAGGCTTCTTCGGTTGAGTACACAGCATATGGTCTCAGAAAGGGATTCCGAGAAGTTCGTGGTAGCCTGGTGAGTTCGCCTGCTGCAAGCATCTGACTTTTTCTAGACCTTGTTGTGTCTCGGTTATGCTTTGGTGCATTCCGCGATGGGAGTTGACCCCATGGTGCAGCTTCCAGAACGACCGCTGCACAGACACTTACACACTGAAGCGCATCGACAAGTGGTTTTTCTACGAACTGATTCACGGACCGTGGTACCACAAGTCTAAACTATCCATACCAATCGAAACCCGGCATGCCAAGACGCTCTCTTTTGTGGCGGTTGCGTAGCAAAGTCGGCAGACCGACATTTTCGTCAGGCACACCGAAGGCCCAGCCGTCGTGCCATGGTCATGGGATAGTCGAGAATCTGAAAGGCTTGGGATGGCTTGGCCTTGCACGATACTGGGAAGACGTCAGGCTGCCAAGGTCCTCACCGAGACATAGCAGCAAGAAGAGAATACGCTCTGCCAGTCTAGTGCCCAGTGCCCAGGAAATTGCTTGGACTACTTGCATTCACCACACCCTGACGCCTTGGGTGTGGGTGAGACTGTGACTTTTCAATGAAAGTACATGTATTCAGGCCGGTCCAAAACTCGATGTGTAGGCTGCGAAGCAAATGCGCGCGTGAGTGCAAAAACTAACTAAGAGTAGAAGTCAATGTCTTGCTTCACACTCGCAGACACTTCTCAGATCCGCAGAAGCAAGGCTGAGATGTCACCGCTCGTCCTCGAGAACTTGCAGCTTGCACATGTGAGGTTCAGGGCAACATCAACTGGGCCATGGACTCCTGTCTTCGTACTGCACAGCATTGGAAAACGCCGTGTGCGGCTTTTCTGGCGTTGTGAAGTTCTTTTGTACGGCACGAGGCAGGCCATCAGAGCATGCTCAGGCTTCAGTCTTAGACGAAGTTGTCGCAGCTTGATCTGCGGTGGTCCTCATCTTCGATCGACCACGCCTGCGTCGACAGAGCCTCAGCGGCGCCGCTTCGCGAGTCTGCTAAGAAGCCGTGAGGGACAGCAGAAGTCGTCGGTGCACATGGAAGTACGAGCATGGTTTGCTTGGAGCGGGCCACCATGCAACGTGCGACCAAATACAAGTCTCGAACTTTAAACCCACCTCAATCCTCTCAAGGCCATAGAAATCCAAGTCCAAGCATCCTAAAACCCTTAAGATCCCTTAAACTCTTAAACTCCGGTCCAGCAGCGGGGGCGTGGCCGTCGCGCGGGCGCCGTTCGTGATGCGACAGCGACCGAGTCACTGGGCCGCCGGGCCTGCAAAGGTGCCTCATCTTTGCAGAGTCTTCTTAACTTTGGGTTAGTAGGGAATGGAGGAATGGGGTACCATTAAAACTACTATTACCACCAGTACCATTCTTCCACTCCCTACTAACCAAAGGTAAGTCTTAAGATGTCGGAGGATTTAGGCTTGTGCATCGGGCAAACTGCAGGATTCCTACAGTCGACAGTCGGCAGCTTGTCGGTAGCGACACACCTCCTCCACTGGACAACGAACCACAGATACACATACACCGGTCTACATCCGGGTTGTGCAGCTGTGCAGATGACCTGGTCGCCTATGGGGCAGTCTAAGTGGCTGTTCCGTGCACACGCAGCGCCCTGGCTGCATGTGCTGCGGAAATGTGCGAAGCGGCAGGCGCAGGTCGGCCGGGCGTAGCCTCGAGAATCCGACCGAAGATCTCCCTACAGTATCTCCCTGCCCCCCCCCCCCGAGGAAAGCAATCCAGAGAGGGCTTTATTTTCATGATGTTTTGTCCTTCTCTTTCTCCCTCCCTCCACGCACGGCCGCCTGAGGTTTGTGGCGCACAGGTGCGTCCTGTCGGGACACGACCACCAGAATGCATCAAATGTTGGAACCGTTTAACCGACAATCGACACATCCCACTCCGGCTTTGAAGCCTCCTCTGCTGTGGCAGCACGGCCAGTCGGATTTGCAGAAGAAACCTGCAACATGCACACCCCGAAGTCCATCTACGCTAGAGGACTTCTTGAATCGTGTGGCTTTTCTGTCATGCAGGTCATGATGGCACCCTGTCCCCTGTGAAGGCTTGTTCACAGGAAGTGGAGTTGCCCAGTAGACATGTACTGCGCCTTACATTCATATTCCTTCATCTGTTTGAACAAGCTCCACTCATCTTGTCTCTGCCTATCTCCCCACATTTTGGGAAGATGCAGGCCTCGAAGGAGCCGCTGCGAGGCACGCCTGGGTGAAGAGGGCCCGCGGCACCTGCATAACTTGGGCTTGTTTGTTTTGGAGTTCTCGTAGTTGTGGCCGCAGGGTGGATGTCTTGCTTGGTGGAAGCTGGTAGCAAGGCTACTCACCGTGAGCATCATGTGGATGCCGGCAATCCTCACTCTGTTGAGCTGATGATCCGCCGCATACTGACTTCTCCAAACATGCTCGCATCCCTTGCATATTCCGGAAGCACAGCTGCTTCGGCTATGCTTTTGCAAGTTTCCCCAGCCAGAGGCTTTGTGTAGTATCGAGGCAAGACCAAAACAGGAAAGAGCTCAAAACAAATACGATGAAAAACATATCGACCGATATAGAAAGACATAGAGGTGTGCGTGAGTGCGCCGTGCGCGTTTGCGTGTGTTTGTGTGTGTGTGCATGTCAGCATACATCCATGTCAATGGCAAACACTAGCGGGGCCTGCATCAGCCTTGGTGACCTCTTGACGAAGGAGTGCGATGCATGCCTGGCGGTCCGACACGGAGCAGAAAAGGCAGCATTTCAATTTTCACGCCCATCATCGTCGCCCGTCATGTGCATGGAAAGCTTGCAGTGCCCTGATCTGGTTCGAGGCCCAGAAGACCGGCCAGCGTTGCATCAGCAGCTTCGACCGTGAGCCCCCGCAAAGGGTGGGTCTGGACCTGCGCGCTCAACTTCTGGACTGGGATTCTTGGCAAGAGGCTGCAGCGGCTACAGTAGATGAGAAGAGTCTTTCTTCCCGAGCTCACATGCAGACAGAGGAACAAAGTGACCGCGCAAGAAGCGCCCGTTCTGCTCCGTCAACAGTTCCCTGTCGTCGATGGCCACCTGAACAGGTCAGATGCCGATACTTGTCAGAAAGACTCCGGCCGAGGAGCATCGGCGAAAAATCGGAAACGGCGCGACAGCGAACGCCCAGGCGGTGTCATTATGAGACCGAGCGACCCAGTTCTCCCACTTCTCGCCAGGATGGGTCCTGGCAGGCTGTGTTTAGCAGTTCAGTCAAACTTTGTCAACTTGAAGTCTGCCCTGACACAAGCAGTTTCCGGTGACTCTGCCATGTGAATCTCCTCATGAACTCTCTCTTCCATTCCAGAATTTCCGTCGGCCGCTGCGCGAGGTAGGGGCTTTTGCCTGAGTTGAGCAGGGCTGATCCAAGTGCCATGGTTCCATTCTTGCACAAGGCCTTCGACCCGAAGCCTCCCTCGCATGCAAACCTGCACTCTCGACTTCATGTGTCCAGCTGCAAGGAGTGCAACCGATGATCTCGAGCCCCACGGAAGCCAACACCTGCCGCTGCAAAGCACTAAAGACAAGGGGGGGACCCACATCTCCCTGCGCCGCGCGCCTGCTGGGCTTCTGCCCGAGCCTCGGGATGGCGACCTCTGCTTTGCTTGGAGAGATTCCATGGACGGAAATCGGAGCTGTGCAACACGAGTTTTGCTGTGGACTTTCGGTCTCTGTATGATGGATAGACGTATGTAGTATGTACGTATGTATGTATGTAGGTACGTATGCATGTACGTAAGCATGTACGTATGTATGTATCTATGCGTCTGGTATATACCAGCAGCGCTACGGCATGAGTGTCTACCTACCAACATGCATCTAGATAATTCTAAGTATATACACAATTACATGTAGGGTTTATTTTTTTGAGTTTACAGTTTAGGGTTTAGGGTGTCTATATACATATACATATATATATATACAATTTATACGTATGTACATCGTTCGTAGAACCGCTTAGAGCCAGGTGGACCTGAGGAGCCCCTCGGCATGCCAAAGGCTGCGGAATCCTGGGCCCTCCGGACGCCAGTCACTGGAGAGGACAATCTTGGCACCGCTCTCTCGCACCACCTCAAGACAGGACATGGCAGATTGGGGAGTTTCCGAAAATAGGGGACCCTACTATAGTACCCTAAATAGTAGGATCCTTATTATAAGGACCACTAAATAAAGTACCCTAGATAAAGTACCATAAATAGTAGGATCCTTATTATAAGAACTCCTAAATGAAGTACCCCTCATTTTCGGAAACCCCCATTTGGGCGCTTTGAACCACTCCCAGCAGCAAGCCTCTCTTCTTATCCTTCGGCAGGGTGCACAGCAAAGTCCGGCTTGAGCTAGCTCTGCAGTTACGACTGAGCCCTTCACCAAGATCACACAGAAGAAGCCGGAAAACGTCTCCCCGTGTTTCTGAGCTTGCCACGCGAGCGAGGTTTTGCAGAAGCTTCCTAGGCACAACAATCGAGTCAATGGAGTTCTCATAGAGTTGGAGCGGTAGCGATATCACGATCAAACTCGGTCAGGGGACTTCGAGCAGGAAACTCCTGGCCTGCAGAGCCTTCAGGACTTGGCAGGCTAATCAACACCTTTTGCTGTGAAGTTGGCTGCTGCAGCTCGAGAAATGGCAGGAAGCAGCTCAGAACCGAACAGAACACGGCTGAAATCGAGCAGAGGGTCTCTTCCATGATACATGGACGACGGGTGACTAGAACACCGTCAATGTCCAGGAAGATGACGCGCATTATCTCCGCATGGCAGTCGTCCGTGACCAAGGGGCACACGGAAAAAGTCTGCGGTGAGTCTACAACTCAGTCTACAACGGCTTTAAGCTTCAATGGCTCATGGGTTCTTGAACTGTGCCCACAGGTTGTGACGACAGATTTTGTTAGCGCCCTGGAAGCTCGGGCCTGAGCAAGGCTGTTGAAACCTGCTGCCCTGGCCAAACCCTCGGTTCACTGCTTCTACACATTGCTACGTACACAACATATCTTCTTCTGCCGCAAAAATGATTCTGTCAAGTCACGTGGGGAAGCTTCAGGCTTCTTGAAAAGAAACGCTGGCGAGCCACCAAGCAACACTGGTTCATCTGCAATGGCAACTACCGCGAGCATGTGCAAACAGCAGTGTGCTACGAGGGCTATGGACTCATCAGTGCCTGTCCACGCGCCCTCATGCAAAGGCGCACCTTCCTAGAGCCTAGAGCTTGCACCTTCCTGCAAACTCTCCGTCAGGCATTCGGCCTGGTCTTTGGGCTGGGTGTCGCATTTCAGCTGGAAGAAGCCTCTTCCCTCAGCCTTGTTGCGGATCAGAACTTGCACAGTCAGCATTCGAGCAATTGGGGCACAGTCCATGGGCTGATGAGGCAAAGAGCGCTGGTTTGATAGAAAGGCCCGACCACTTTTCGTCATCTCCCGAAGATTCAGTGGTTACATGCTGAGAACTACAGACACAATTTGCTTGGTTGACTAGAGATGTCGCGGCCGGCTCTGCCTTCTTGAAATTCGCCTCGGGATTTGCCGCACTCCAGTCCTGTCTCGCAGTCGGGCTCTCGACAGCTTGCTGCTTCTGATGGCTCCTGGTTCGGTGAAGTGGTCGGAGGCGGTCGTCTTGGGGCGGTCCGCAACTTGCATGTTGTTTTTTCCGTGCCATACCCGGCAGTTGCTGCTGATGATGGTGTCCAACGAGACTGGACGAAATTACGATAACGGCCTCATGCTCAACATGTTTGGAGCAGTGGCCACTGCAAGCAAGAAGGACCAATGCTTGTCATTGGCTGATGTCACTTCCGCTTCACTTAGCAGCAGGCTGACGGATCCACTACGGTCGACATGAACTGAGCTTAAAGTAGACCGATTGCCCCGTCACCCCCTGTGCAGCTCGAGTTCTGTCTTTATCGTGAGACTGGTGCCGCACAGCCATCTGGCAGGAGCAACGATGCGATCCGAACTATGTGGATCACTCAAGACTACCTCCTTGCAAATTCCGTGCCTATCACATCATGCAAGGCACGTTCCCATGACATGCAAGATCTTAACCAAGGCCCTTGAGCATGCCAAATCCAACTCCAATGTCGAAGTACGCTTGCACTTGCCTGAACTGCTGCTCAGCAAGGCGCTCGGTTGATGTGTCGCAGCATACAACGGTACAATTACAAACACATGATCGTGATTTTCAACTTGGGGCTGAAATCTCTGCGCTCTGCGCTTGATCACGCCGACTGCTGGGAGTCAATCTGATCACAGGTTATTTGGCGTCAGCACGACGGAGCCACGTCTTCCAGCTGACCTCGCACAGCAAGGCTACGGCTGTCAGCTCAAAGGATGCTCTCGCAGGTAACTGTGAGAATTCCTCGTCGTTTACTTGAGGTCAAGAGCAACTTCTGGCTTTACTAGCACAAGAAGCTGGTGTTTAGTGGCACCAGCAGAGCTGAAAGCATACGAGGGCACGGCCTTGCCGGCATTGGGATGCGCGATCCCACATCAAGGCCAGCCTGAAAGTGGACCGATTGGAGGACGCTTTGTTCTTTTGGCCAAGAGTTTCCCGTACCGTGGTGCGAGGGGCAAGTAGTGATCACTTTCAAAAGAAGCATCCGATTGAATCCATCCGAGGCCGCAGCAGGCGCCCGAGGTCCCCTGAAGCCACTGCAGACGCGGCTTCAAACTGCAGACACAGCCTCGGCAAAAAAGAGCGGTGCGACCTACCTTTCGATTGTAATTGTGTGGGGCCAAGGTTCTTTCTACTTCCATCCGGTGGTTCCAGTTCCCATATCCCACCGGGAAATGGATACCAAGCAGTGCCTAAGCCGCTGGCGACGGCGGTGGTTCGATGCACAGCAGCCGACCGCTACCGTCCCACTGCGCCTCTGACACTTTGGAAGGAAACTATCAAAAACTAACCTTTGGCTGTGAAGCACCACATCCAGATATGCTGGCATGGTGGTTCGGGACTTCTCCGCATCATCCAGATGCTTGACTACATATGACTACATGAGATCAGGTGAGGCGGAGGAGCACGGCCTTCGCACTGATGTGCGAGGACGAGCCTTCCGATGCCAATGCGCCGGCCCTGCCAGAGATTGCAAACGAACCCTCAGTCTGTGAGAGTGCATGACTGCAAACTGCTGCTCTCTGGGGCAATCTGGAGCACGTTTCGGACCTTTCCATCAATGTTGGAACCCTCAGGAAAGCTGGAAGCCTCAAAGCCTACTCAAAAGCTGTTACTGTGAACGTTCTGAGCTGAGCCCTAAGCCAGGTGAAGCTACAAAGACTCATGTTGGACCTGCGTGTACATCATTGTCTGCCTTCGCTTGTGTGTGACTATGTACATCCAGTCCGCAAGTTGATCTGCACGACTTCGCCTGCTCAGGAGGATCAATCCGTCGCGCTCGAAGAACTGAATCCTCGCGCTTTGAGCCACATCATCACGCATCGGTCTCAGGGTCACCACAGCTGCAATAGCCAAGACCCCGCCGTCCTTGGTAGGCCCAGGTCTGCCTCGAAGGCGGCCAGCCGCTCCAAGCGAGCGATCTGGCAAGTGTTTTGGAAGTAGGCCCAACCAGTAGGCTCCATTTGGGGAAGCGAAAAGCCAAGCCATCTCTCAAGACCGATAGGGGCCAGCTGAAAGACCCAATCTCCCGAACTCCGAATCTGGCGATTTCAGAAGACAAAGACGGAGCACCTCCTCAACCTCCGCGGCCTCTGACTTGACAAGCTCCTGCACCAGGCCCTGCCGCAGTTGTTTCTGCGCATACTCTCTCCTTTGCCCGTTCCTTGCTCTTGCTCTCAAGCACCGAAGACGGGGATACCTTACCTTGCTTGAATTCTGAAACACGGTTTCAACAAGTAGAGTAAGTAGAGGTCACGCTAGAATAAACGCATTCGGACAAACCGTAGATGATTTGAGAACAGATCACACGCCTCCTCATCATCTGTGATCGAAGAGGTTCGGAGTCTTTTCGCCTCGAATAGTGACTCATTGGCAAGCGTGCATGCGACTGTCTGGTGCAAAGACACGTCCTGTTGGTGCTTCATCCCCGAATCAAGTAGCCCACGGCATCCTAGCATCAAGCCGAGAGTTGATGCCTTCCATACCAGCGCTCTTTTATAAAGCTGGGACCATTGCCATCAGGCGAGCCCCAGCCGACTCCTCCTGACATCAGCCACAACGATCCGGTTCTAAGGCAACGACTCCGACCCCACGTGAACTCTCCGAACTTTCAAGCTCGGCTTGGCATCAGCACAGCAGGCATAGCATCCGCTTCGATTGGAAAAAAACCTCGCTAAGCCTATTCTCGTTTTTGCCCCCTCCCTGCGGCCTCATCCTGTTCCTCCTGAACAGAGATGCGCAAATCCTCCAGCTCCTCCTGACAGAGCCTCTGGATCAGGTGCATCAACCGGCGCACGGCACAACCGAGACAAGCACGACCATGACTCTGACCACTGGGGCTAGGATGAAATGAAGACTGCGGCCATGACTGCTGAGTTGTGGTGGTAGTAGTAGAAGTAGAAGTTTTAGAACTAGAATAGAAGTAAGCAGAAGAGCCGCTCCCCTTCTTCCTCCTCTTCCTCCTCCTGCTTCCACTTCTTCTACGACGACAGCCACTACCACGACGAATACTACTTCTACCACCCATACCACTACCACTACCACTGCCGCTGCCACTGCCGCTTCCACTGCCACTACGACTACGACCACGACTACTGTTGCTGCTGCTGCTACTCCCTACTGCTACTGCTACTGCTACTGCTACCGCTACCGCTAAGGCTACGGCTAAGGCTACGGCTCCTGCTCCAGCTACTGCTGCTGCCGCTGCCGCTGCCGCTGCTGCTGCTGCTGCTACTGCTACTGCTACTGCTACTACTACTACTACTACTACTACTACTACTACTACTACTACTACTACTACTACTACCACTAGTACTAGTACTAGTACTAGTACTAGTACTAGTACTAGTACTAGTACTACCGCACGTGTCGGAATCCGTCGCGCGATTTTTGTGCAAGTACGCGTTTCGCCACAGCGAGAGCGCATTTTCAGACCGAATACGAGGCCTCAAAAAAAAAGATGTTTTCAGAGCTAGTTTCGTGGAAACCATGGCAGGCGTGGCACTTTGCGAGATTCGGCGTGTCACGTTTTTGGGTCTTCTTTTTCGCGTGGTTGAAAGGCCGAAAACACCGCGCACAAGGAGGTTTTCGTGATGTCAACAATCCAAAGTGCGATTTTGCCGTTTATCCCAAAGTTTGGGTTTTTTCTTCTTTACGTGGTTTCGAAGATGAGTAAGCAATGACTTTTTCAACCGCGAAGGTGGCAGCAAAGAGAGACCGATGAAAACGACATATTCGTCGCATTATAAAAACATTGGGAATTGCCGCGGATTTGTGCATATCTTCGCGAAAGCTGCATCGGATCATCTTCGTGAGATGTGCCTATCGCAGGAAACGCATCGGATGAACTTCGTCAGATTTCAGAGATTCATCTGAGTTGAGCAGAAGATAGGGTAGATTGGAAGCAGGATGAAAACATTGGGAGTTCGTATTGATTCAGGAGGATTGGTGATTTTTTGTCGCGACAACTGCATCGGATCATCTCCGTGAGATGTGGCTATTGCAGGAAAACGCATCGGATGAGCTTCGTCGGATTTGAGAGATTCATCCGAGTTGAGCAGAAGATAGATTGGAATCAGGATGAAAACATTGGGAATTCGCATTGATTGAGGAGGCTTGGTGATTTTTGTCGCGACAACTGCATCGGATCATCTTCGTGAGATGGGCCTATCGCAGGAATACGCATCGCATGAACTTCGTCAGATATGAGAGATTCATCTGAGTTGAGCAGAAGATAGGATAGATTGGAACCAGGATGAAAACATTGGGAATTCGTATTGATTGAGGAGGCTTGGTGGTTTTTTTGCAGCGACACATGCGTCGGATCATCTTCGTGAGATGTGGCTATTGCAGGAAAACGCATCCGATGAACTTCGTCAGTTTTGAGAGATTCATCTGAGTTGAGCAGAAGATAGATTGGAATCAGGATGAAAACATTGGGAATTCGTACTGATTGAGGAGGATTGGTGAATTTTTGTCGCGACAACTGCATCGGATCATCTTCGTGAGATGGGCCTATCGCAGGAAAACGCATCGGATGAACCTCGTCAGATTTGAGAGATTCATCTGAGTTGAACAGAAGATAGGATAGATTGGAATCAGGATGAAAACATTGGGAATTCGTATTGATGGAGCTACTACTACTACTACTACTACTACTACTACTACTACTACGACTGCGACTACTACTACTAGTACTAGTACTAGTACTAGTACTAGTACTAGTACTAGTACTACTACTACTACTACTACTACTACTACTACTACTACTACTACTACTACTACTACTACGACTGCGACTACTACTACTACTACTACTACTACTACTACTACTACTACGAGTTATACCCGGAGACTGTCGTGCCGGCAAGTCGTGCAGTGTGAGTAAGTCGCGCAGCCCATGCACGGGGCTCTTGTAGGTGCCAAACCCGTCCGAAGCATGTGATATCGCTTAACCGACTTGCGGCGGCAAGGCCTGTATCTTTCCAAGGCGTCCCTGCGCGTGTTTGCGAGCTCCTGAACATGAAGTTATAGCTACGACAGCCTGACGGATGGACTATGCCGCTGTCCTCACTGAGTCGAACATGTTCTTCAAGCTCAAGGAGAAGCTCTTCCCCCAGAACCTCACACTGCGCCGCCGTGCTGCATCCTGACTGGACCTAGCAGAGGGGCCTCTTCTTCCGCAGAGAGCTGGCAGAACATGCGCTCCAGATTCTCACCTGAGTCAAAGAAGGGATGTCTTGGACTTGGTCTTTCTGGTGTAGTGATCCCGTCGTGAGCATTGCTCGCAAATTCCGAAGTTCGACCGTGCTGTTGACACCCTGGATACACATTCTAGGTAAGATTGTCGTACAGGACCCTTTCAGATCTCGCCTGAGACGTCACCGGACTCTTGCATCCGCATGAAGTGGCGCTGTGCCTGCGAGAACAGGCCATAGGGGATGCTCGAGTCATGAGTCGTCGAAGCTTTCGACGCTTGGGACGCTTTGGCACATCGGAAACGCTGAGAGCCGACAGCCTCAACTGCGAGGAACATGAACTTCCTCTGCTTGAACTCCTGCACAGCACTGGCTTCGGAGTTTCGCCGTCTGAAACTCGGATGAACAGACATGTCGGCACTGTAGGACCCTGCACCCACTGCCCGGCGGATGCCCTCCTGAGCCCATTCCTCTTCTTCTTCGGTGCTCGGCCCGAGCTCCTGACTTGTTTGGGATTTTCGAAGGCGCAAGGGCAAGGTCCTAAGGTCCTTTGAGATCACTCTATAGCCTATGCCTTGTCCTGTTGTCTTCAATACTTTCATCACGCCCTTCAACAAGGCCGCGATCCAAAGTGTTCGTGGTATGTGCAGAATCATTCTGCTGCAGTAACGGCACATTTGTCGTTTCTGAAAGAGGGCACGGAAGTACTGCTTTCTTTATGTTTCCTGCAACGCACCACCAAGGCTGGAAGAAGAGCACAATGTGAACAACAAGTAAAGCTCGACTCATCGGGACAGCGCACAGCGGAATGCCCCTATAGACAAGAACAATAAGAAGATGAGCCGGAAGAAGGAAAGTCGCTGAATGAGAGTCATTGCATCACCCGCGTCATTGTCGGGAGCGTGGCTGTGAGATTGACCTGAATGAAATCTTGGAGCCTAAACACCCAAGGACGAGCAACAAACAGAAGATAGAGCTGCCTGTGTTCAAAGCGGCCCCGCAGCAAAGTACGATGAGCAGGAGGCGTGCACCCGACCCCTCACCCCCGTACTCCGAAAGCCACTGTTCGAGAAGGAGAAGCTGCTGGCAAATGCAACACGGCATGGTCGCACAGAAGAAGCTCAACTGCAAACGTTGCTGGATGTCCGCACATTCCACACAACAAGGAGTTGGAGGTAGTTGAAAGTATGCTGAGGGTATAGCTGTGTCCGAACATGCAAAAAACCAATCTGCAAAAAAAACACAGCATATCACAGCATATGCCTATGGAGCAGCCCATTCTTCATCTCCGATTCACGAACAACAAAGAGTACTCTTGACACACGCGCTGTGCTGCAACAGTTGGTGCAGCTTTGCACATTCGAAGGCAACAGCCAACGCTTGCCTTTCCACAGAAATCCAAGCAGAACAACATGTCCCACACCGCACCATCACCGCCACCCAGACGCAGCAGGAGGAGCATCTGCATGAATAGCAGTGACAAGGATCGGGCCAAAACATAGGCAGGTCACGCACAAAACTCTGCACGCTGTAGTACGACACAACTCTAGCTGTAGCACGCTCGTTCATCCCTTCATTCATCCATTCCATATCATCCCATTCACCCATTCCATTCCATTGCAGTCCAGTCCAGCCCAGTCCAGCGCAGTCCATACAGTTGCTTCATTCATTACGGCACGTATTAATAAAGTCGCTCATCGACTCGCTCACTCACTGAGTCATTCACCCACTCACTGCTTCGTTTGTTCGTTCCTTCGTCCATTCATTCACGTACTCGTTCTGTTTTTGGACATACACATGCAGACATGGATCCATACAGACATACAGTTATGCACCCATCCATGCATACGCACCTACACGTATACAGATAGAAAGATTTACTTTGCCAGCATGTCTTGCGACGGCTACAAGGCGATGCAATATAGAAGCGTTGCGAGCAGTCGCAGCTCAGTAGCATGTCATCTTGTTGGCTGGTAGCTGTTGCTGAAGCTGCGAGGGGCCATCAGACATGAAAACTGTACGAAACAGATGTAAGAGAATTTAGCGAATCTTTCTGGCTACATATGGAATTTGCATCGGTTCCACAGCGTGTTAACTGAGCGGAAGCGAGGCTGAGCTGCAGACGACATGAGGCTAGCTCGTCTCGTGTACATGTAGATAAGAAAAGGCACGATCATTACAACTCACTGTGAACGGAGATCATGTGTGTGTGTGTGTGTGTCGAAAACTCAAGACAGCTTGGCATCTCGTCCTTATCTGCTGCCAGATTCAAAGCTTCCAGTAGCGCTCCACACCTCAGCTGTCCACTTGTCAAGCTGCAGCGAGTACGTCGCATTTTCACTGGGCAAAGCCCGATGGCGGGCAATGTCACGCAAGGCTTCAAGGCCAAGTCGCAAGCCGCAGAAGCTAGTTACGCTACTTGTACTTCCCGCTAAAACCGCTGAGTTCTGGGGTCAAAACCTGGCCACTTGCTGCAAAAGCTCCGACGCCATCGGCGGGTGCTCCAAGCTCGATGCCCAAATGACCCCGGAAAATGCTGTCCATGTTCCTTCTTTGTGTCAGTGACTCATGAGCCAGCAGTACATGACATGTCGAGCTGTGAGCCTTACCATCTCCAACAATGCTTGTTGAACAATCACTCCAATGTGTCCTCTATGTTTGACTGGAAACAAACGAAAGTCCTCTTTCCGTGGCTGGCTACTCATTACTTGAACGTGCTGGAAATCCACACAATCTTCAGCCCTTCAATGCTGTCTGCGAAGTTCCAATCCGAATCGCCCCCAAGACGCCGTCCTTGGGAAAGGCACCAATGAGAAAGCGAAGGAACTGGCCGGTACCTTGCACAGAAAAGCAGTCGGTGCGGAGGCATGCTCTGTAAAGTAATCTCAGGTAAAGTTAGGACAGTCAGGACCTGACGCTGAAATCTAGATGTATCCCGTACTCAGTTTCTGCGACCCTCAACATCTGAAAGCGTACCACTCTCTCCCTTTCACGTCCTTCCCATGCCCCCGCCTTAAATCTGAGTTGGTGTGCAAACTCACGTGCCCCTTAGGTCCCTGCACGGGTGGTACAACATAAAGCCAGGCGAAATGACCTGTCGGGACTCAAATGACAGGAACCTCCCAGGCTGTTTGAGCGGCCACGCACTTCACAGCTCGGCTGGTGCCATCAGGACACTAGCGAACTTCTCGGATTCCTGCCTCTGCGTCCACGCCCTGCTTGATAGCATCGTTCTAAAGCGCCGGACATACAGACCCACTCGCGTGAACGACACGTTAACCCCGCGGTCCCCGCCTGCTTGTCATTGCTCTTCAACTTGCGGGAATCCAAGAACCACTTCACCAGGTACGATCCCGGCCTGGCAAGTCGAGACACGTAGGGTCGCAGCCCTTCTGCCCCCATCACCCCACTCTCCAACTGCAGGCCAGCCTCCCTGTGGGGTGGACTTGCATGGTTTGCGGGTCCAAGTACTCCATCATCGGCATGCCTAGGCCACCAAGAATCTGTGGACCGTGGAATCGAGCACAACCGGGCAGCCGAAACTAGTAGTCCGATCCTGGAGACATGTTGGCAATGATGCACCAGCACTTCTCTCGAGTCGCAGACCCAGCAGACGGGTCAGCTCACAGATGTAGGCAGCATACTCGGGTGTCAGCAGAACCCGGTTTGCCTCGCGCAGGTTGAAGACAAGATGCTCGGTAGCTATTGCATGCCTCTACCTTTGAACTCTGCTCTGCGTCGAGGCCTGCATTTGCCACGACGCAACTCCGACTGCATCAGTGGTGCTTCGAGCGCGCACACGCATTCCCGGACGCATCAAGCCGGGACCTCATGTGTGAGTCTTAGTGCGAAGACGCCAACCTCCGTTCTGGGACGCTTTAAATTTTGCAGCGCATACTCGTTGTCCATGTGCTGCAGCCGCATGCTGTCGTCGGAGCAGCTAGAGAAGCCCCTCGTCGGGTCAAAAACTCTACATAAAAACACAGGCCATCGCAGCCTGGGAGTTTAAGCATGAGGACCCAAATGCTGGCGACATCGACGCTGCCGAGTCCAATGCCCACAGCACGAGAACATGAAATGAGATCAAAACCCGAAGCGGCCGAACGTGAAGTTTCGCGACACCACAGCTCCAATGTCCTTCTTAGGTGTTTGTGCTTGTCCTTCGAAGCTCGGAATCATCCGGCGCCGGCGCGGCTGGGCAAGTTCTATTCAGCATATCAACCCACGTGAGCTAATAGAACGAGGACATTCTGCCTTCGCGATGTGCTTGTGGGCGAGCGCACCCCGTCATCACAATGAAATCGAAGTGAGGGTGGAAACAGATTCCGAGATTCTCAGAGACACGACCACGAGGCCTGGAGGTAGTAGAGATAGTCCCACCACTCCTGCACCTCAGGCTTGGTCGATTCGAAAACCATCTGCACAGACACATTAAACTCACAAAACTTCGGTCCCTGCGACACATTTCGGACTCACTGCCCGATGCCGCTCTAAGACTCTAAGATCGCAAGCATGCCAGTTAAATTATGCAGGTATGCTCCACTCCTGCACCAATTGCCCGAGCCAAATGAAAAAAAATGCGGCGGTGGCAGCTGCCCGGCTGCATGACCGTGCGGATCTTGCAGATCAAAAAACGCGCCTGTTCCGCAATGCTGAGCCTCTTGCGGTGTACTCCGGAAGTGGCAAGTACACGTAGGACTCTGACCCGAACCTCGTGCTGCTATGCTCCGGAGCCGTCCAGCTGCAGCTTCAAGGTGGAATGAACCACTGCACCAATGGCAAATGAAATGGAAACCAAATAACAGTAAAGAACACAATGACAATGGTGACCTCAAAGCCACAACACGCTGGTACTAACGATCCTGGATCCATGGTCCGACTGTGGAAGAGCCGAATAATGATACTCATGTTAAACAACAAGAGTAAGCGCAATCGCATCAAGTCAGAACGTACACTGTCCAAGTAGGCTAAGCCGAGAAACTGAGCAATCAAAGACTACGTTCAAAAAAGTAGATGCTTAAGTGACATGCTCAGTCAGTGCTTGCTCAATGCCTTGGGCAATCACACCAAAATCGAACGCAGACGATCAAAAAAACTGAAATGCAATACTTGAGCTGCTCCAAGAAATGCAATGAACCAGGCACTCCTTAGATTAGCGAATAACCATACGCCAAGTGCTTTTCATTTCGCAAAGACAATTGGACCTCTAGACCAAATGCTCTTGAGGATCAGTCCTCAAATCAGGACCCGGATACTGCACTAATCAAGCACTTGGGGAAAAATATGCCAAAGTCTTGAGGTTGCAATCTCTCTGGGAGCCTGGATACGTCTTCGACAG